TTTGGATTTATTCACTATTTTGAAAGGGGCACAACGGCTTTTGCTTGGGCTGAAAATGCTGGTCGGGAGCGGGGGCTGTCCGAGGAGCCTAGGTAATCCGTGAGACAGGCTTTGTTGGCATAGGTTATATCAAGAAAATAAATGTGCTGCGACGTATTAACGAGTGATGTACTTTCTGTATTACCAGATGAAGGCGGGGGGGCCCCGCGAGCAGCTGCGCGGCAGGCTGTTGAGGGAAGGCCGACAGCGCAGGACCTGGAACAATCCGGGCTGAGTTTATCTCTATTGGCATTAAATCAGTATCGTGTTTTAGTCTATCGAAGTCTACTTTTGATGGATTGCAACTAGGTGAGGGAACTCGAGCAAACAATAATTGCAGCGGCACGGGCGGATCGCGGCGGCGCATGGTCAGTTCAGCCGTAGGAAACACACGCAAGTTCAGCAATATTTCACACATCTTTGAAGCCCTCCCATTATCTTGAGTGTTTATTTGAAGTAAAATAGTCCAACTGCGACACATGCTTCGGAAACGAGGGTGTCCCATGAAGTCAGCTGCTGCCAAGGTGACAGTTGAGGTCTCATGAAGTACTGGCCTCTATATGTTCCTCCAAAATATACCAGCAGCGGTGCTGTTCCGAGCTGGATTCAGACGGGATCCGCTACAGGGTGTGCAAACGCGCATCAACAGTAATTGAGCACGCCAACAGAGGCGAGGCTTGAGGCGAGGCCTCTGAGTTGCATGTAGAGTTTCACGCCACATGTAATTTCTTCTTATGTCTGAGAAATCCCCAGCACAGAGCTTAACAAGAAGATTACCTTTCTCTGAGGTTCCCGAAGATCCCTTCAACGATTAGGGTCTCTGGATGAACAGAGGACCCTGAGGAGAAAATGGTAGGAACATGCGGTAATTTATCATCCTTATCATCACAGACGTCCGTCTCGACCACATTTTAAACAGTGAAAACAAAGAACGTACTGCTAAGGGGGTCCCGGTGTTGCAGGCTGACCGTCTTAATTGCCGTATTCATAGCGCCAGCGTGTTTTGGTTGCCAGTATTGCTTGGTGGCTCCACAAGCTTTTATCTGCTTTCCTGTTGTATGCCGCGTGCAGCTGTCAACATTCTTCGGTTCTTCTTGTTCAGTGGACATTTCGCTGGACAGAGAGGGACGGAAATGCACTTGGTTATCGAAGGAGAAAAAGGGAGAGAAACTGCCAATTTATAGTGTAAGTTGAGCAAAGCGCACTACCGCTGGTCCAACTTACCGTAGTTCCCTGCTTTTTATTTTATGCTACGGTTAATTCGCCGCGTTGCTTCACATGGCACTCAGGGTGCTCAGTATGGGCGGCTGTGTTTCCTCATGGCTCATGTCTTTGTGCTGGTACTCGAAATGGCGCACCCTACGCTAAAAGCTGTCCACTCTGTATTGCGTGGAATTGCTTCAGGATGTGGAAGACGTCAGCGGCGTTGCATTGTTGAACTTGAAGACGGGAAAAAAACTAGAGCATAATGGTATTAAAGTGGAACTAGTGGGCCAAGTTGGTGAGTTTCAACTAGAGAAAGCTATAATCCAAATATTTGTAATGATTGTGTTTCCTTGTCTTCCCACTTTCCGCCAAGTACGGTTGTCTACGTAACCAGTGTCGACACGGATATCTGTGTTATCTGTGTACAATAGCAACGTCTGATGAACAAGCCAAGCGATCTACCATAATGAGTTGTTTCATTCGCTTCTTGCAGGTGGGCGACGCAGTTCGTCACCCTCAAGAATAGACTGCCCTTATCTTCACATTGGGGCAAGTGCTCGTGTGAAGATGCATTCCTGTGTGGTCACGTTTTTATGCATAATTGGGCATGACATGCACATGTGCATGAGCCGGTAAATTGATGTGTGTCATTTTATTGCTTATGGGATTGTATGAAGCATATTGTCTCAGGCGCACAAGCAGCAACCACACGTAAATATGTGCACACATACGACTTGTTTGGTTCAACAAGTCAGTTGTATAAGGAAGCTCTGTTGCATATATATGCATGTATGGTTGGCCCTAAAATTCAAGATCAAGTCTTCTACCCAGAAAGTCAGACATGTCAACTACGCGTTTATTTCTTTGATTGCGACATTTGCTGCAGACATGCTCTACGACAGGAGCAGCACGTATGACTTTTTTTCAATATCAAAAGACTTAGAGCCTCCTGGCCTGTTACTTGAAAGTAAAAAATATAAATTCAAATTCAACGCTGTTGATAAAGCCCACGAGACGTACTCTGGAATTAACGTCCGCCTTAGATATTTTGTTCGGCTCACCATACACCGAAATTACGCAAGGTGGGCCTCCTTTCCGTGTTTGTGCCATTCACTCACAACATGCACGCATGCACAAGTTTACACATGATTCCGCCTACGTATGCGTGCGGCACATGACCTTCATTTGATCCCTCCATATGTTTGTTTGAGGCCATACTTGACTGAGCCCTTAATTAACTCGGTGAAGCATGTGCATGCTTGTGTGAGTTAGTTCGTTAGCGTTTAATCGTTTTGGGTGTTCTAAGTGTCCCTGGTATGCTGCTAAGACCTCCTTTTCTTAATCACTTTGCGATGTGTTGTGTCTTCTGCTTATTATTTTTTCTAGTCACTGAGCTTTCTTTCATCGAACGTTTACCTTGCGTCTGTCACAGCAGCATTGTCAAGGAGCATGACTTTGTCGTGCAAAATGTTGGACCGCCTCCTGAGATAAAGAATTCAATCAAGATGGAGGTCAGCCCGAAGTACATTTGCATAAGTGCACATTAAATTTAGTTATGGTACATGTGAGCTTTTTCGCCCAGAAATAAGTGAATGAGGAGTGGGTATGAATGATACACGGAGGAATTCCTATAAAACTGTCCAGGGAAAAAAATGCAAGGCAGGCATACGTTCGGACTAAAATGCGGCTGGTTATGGGGTACTTGAACCGGAAATTGTGGAGTGTGCTTTTGTGCATTTGGTTGCTTAGATCTGCCTGGGCATGCGGCAGAGACGCAGTGGTTAGCTTCTTTACCGCATCTGATTCAGTCTTGTGTGTGGGCCCTTCTCTGTTTGGATTAGGTCGGCATTGAGGACTGCCTGCATATAGAATTTGAATTTGACAAGAGCCGATATCACCTAAAAGATGTTGTCATTGGCAAGGTCTATTTTGTCCTTGTCCGGATTAAGATTAAAGACATGCAACTCGATATAATCAAGACAGAAACTGCAGGGAATGGTGCGTTCGCACGAATCTTGACAGTACCGGAAGCATCGCCAGCTGTTCCAGGTTTTAAAAGGGGGAAAGTGCAGGGAATTTGCTGAGGCATATGGACACCACAGTAGTGACGTATATTGTGTCGCGTTAGTGCTTTCCAGAGGTCTCGTCTTCGCCTCTTATCCTAACTGGCCTTTGCGCGGTTTGTCTGAGCTTTCCATTGTACCTGATCGAGTCCAGTGACGCTTAATCTGTGGAAATTGCTTTACTTCTGTTTGTACAGGAGCCGCGGCTGTGACAGACTCAGAGACTCTTTCCAAATTCGAAATAATGGACGGTGCCCCTATACGATGTGCGTCTACAGCATATGACGATTTGCCTTTCGGCAATTGCTGCACAGGTTGCCGAGCAATGCGTGCTTGTCTTTGGCTGTCTACCCGAGAACTGGGGTCCTGCTGGCTCTATGAATAGGTTTTTTGGTTTGTTTCTGAACTGACGCAGTTTGCTGTTGATATCCAGTTGCAGGAAAAAAGTGTCTATTTTGTATTGCGTTTATTGCCTAAAGGAGAAATGACATCGCCGTAGCGTTGTATATTTTCTGTGGTTGCAGCTTGTATATTTTCTGTGGTTGCAGCGGAGTGCATACCTGTGAGGCTCTATCTAAGTGGATTGGATCTCACTCCAACATACAAGAATGTCCAAAACAAATTTTCAGTTCGGTACTTCTTGAACCTGGTTCTTGTAGATGAAGAAGACCGAAGGCAAGCCATAGACATGAAACATGGTCTCTTGGGCCTGCCTGTGGCCTTTTAGTTTGTCTGGAACGCATCAACAGGGCTTCCTTCCCCTGTTGGCTCCTTTCAGCGTGTCTGTTCTTCAGTGTGGTTCATTTGCTTGTAGGTATTTCAAAAAGCAGGAGATTATCCTATGGCGTAAGAAGATAGGCTAAGGGAGCGCAACGTACCTACAGGCAGCTTTCTCAGCAGTGTGAGCGAAATATATCCTTTTACGTGGCGTTTCAGTCAGCCAACGCGACGCTCGAGGCAATGCAGTGCAAAGAGCTGTCTGCTGCTCTGTCAGTTACAGGAGCGCCTGTGAAAATGCCACATCCTAGATGTATCTAGCTTTGCTTGAAATTTGCATGCGTTTGACAACGATCTTTAACCCAGTATGCAAGGCTGTTTTCTTCACAACCGTAATCGGTTCGCTTGCTTCGTTAGTCTTCGTATAATAGCACTTGGCCTCTTCTGCGCTGCAGACTGTGAAACCACGCGATTGAACTAAGAGGACGGCTTTAGTTAGTTGCTCAGTCCGGCCAGTGACAGCCAATTATGAAGCAGGCTTTATTTGATATCGCGGCGTTTAAAGCTGGTGTAGAATATGCAACGGCTTAAAAGCCATTAGCGTTTCAGTTGCAAAGTGGAAATCCCTGAGCCTAGCGTGCACAGCAGCACAGAAGTTGGCCTTGAGAGTCAGTAGGCAACGCTGGGTGACTGAAGTCCATAGAGAAGCGCACTTATAGTCCCCTTTCTATTAAGAAGCGCTTTCAATAGCTTTGAAACGCGCAGCGTCGTGAGAAAGATATGACAAGTTCAGTGGCGCTGCCAAGCGAGGAGAAGGCCCTGCGAGCGAGGCCCTTGTTGCCTGTAGCTCGCAACTCTGCCGAAGAATAAGTTAACACTTGCGTCAGTCTTCCTAGAGTTTTGGCAGCTTCGAACGGACTGGTGCAAGTTATAGCTCCCAACCCGACACAGATGATTGCAGCTTTTGCTTGTCACTCAGTAGCGGCGTGTTGGCGTAGAGGCGCTCTGTGTGGCACTAATCGAGCTGTACGGGGTAAAGGAAACGCGGGTTCGACTCAACGAGCTCTGAGATGCTGTGGGCGTAGCCAAACTGGTCGCTTGTGACGTGGAGCTGCGCTGGCGCTGAGAGGATGAGGTGCTATAAGATGAGCGTATACCACTTCTGCGGCCTACGGGTGGGATGATCCCGAGTTCTTGGGTACTCGCTGTCTCTATGACACCAATAGTAGGCTCCCTCCGTTCTTCTGCCTGCCGCTGTTCCTGTGCTCTCTTTTCCTCTTTCCGCCTCATATACTCCCGCCAGCTCAAAACTTTCTTGGGGGAGACGTCGTGGTAGTACAAATTATTGTACGTCGTCCCATAATCCTCCCTGTAGGAATGGGTGCTATAAGGACTGCTAAAAGGGTCGGGGTAGTACATGTAGGTCCTGTACGGCGTGTTTGGATAGTCTGCACCATCGCTAGCCCGATGGCGGCCAGCTGAATCGCCGCTTGTCGCGCTAGGTCGCAAAGCCCCTGACCACGGCACCTGTGGTCCGGGGGGAGGTGCGCGTGACGACGAAGTGCTGAGCTGAACAACAGGAAATTCATTAGTTAAGTCCTCTTCTGCATCCGCAAAAGACTCATTGCTGTCTTGACTATGATACCTTGTTCTTTTCCTGATGCCAGCCAGTGAGCGCAAAGCACTGCTCTTGCCGATATCAATACCGACCGACATTGCACCATCTTCTTGGGCAGGTGCTGTTGCTTTGGACGATTCTTGACCTGTTCCTGCTGTGGTATCTGCGTTTCTAGCGGATTCCGCTACGGGCATACTTTGTTGTTTGGTAAGGTTGGCATCCTGCATTAGGGCAGCCTGTTCATTCATATGTCCAACCAGGGAAGCAAGAGATGCAATGCTGTCATTTCGGTTGATATTCTGAAGCACCTTCTTCATCCAGTTATTTAGCTCTTCTTGACTCTCCTCAAGTGTGGCCAGCTTCGCCCATTCAGGCAGCGCTCCTGCCTTAGAGAGTTCGTTTTCCATGGCGACAAGCTGTGATTTTTGAGGGTTGGAAGGCTGCTGCATTTCCTGACGCCCCGTGGCTGATGGTTCTTCAGGTTCCCCAGAATTCGCTGTGATCTCCTGATGACCTTCACTGCTTGTATCGCTTTGAAAATTGTTTTCTGGAACCTTTTGTACCTCTGACTGAGGGCGAAGTGAAGGAGATTGTGTGCGAGAGACATCAAATGAAGGAGGTGTGTGACCATCGTTGGTTTCCGAAACGGAGTCACCGTTGATGCCATCACCGATGGACACGCCTTGGTTTTCACCGCTCTTCAGGTCAGTTTTGTCAGTGCCTTTGCCCTCATCTCTTACTTCTGATTCCATGCTTTCAGCAAGAGAAAGAAGACGAGCTGAGGCTTCGCTGGGCGTGGAAATCGTGAGGTTGCTATTTCTGTAGTTGCGCAAATTGAATCCTCCACCAGGCGGGCTTCCTGGTTCAGTGCGGAGTCCACTATTCATAGGAGCTAGAGCTGGAATGGAGGGAATTATGCCGCCATTCGAAGCTACGAGCGGCGGAGGTATCGGTTGCGCTCGTGCAGTGCTGGGTAAGGGCCCCAAATGGATCGTGGGTGCATCCTGCAGGCGCGGTGACGGCTCTCTGTAGTCCGTGTGAATTGGCTGCCTTGCTCCTGCATTTGCTGTCACCTCCTGGAGAGTAGTTACTCCGCCATTGATTCTTGTTCCGCTAGCAGGCTGCTGGGCTACTCCTCCCTGTAGGTTGCTTCTGTTGCGTGTGCTAGGCAGAATTGTATTGACTGATTCCCACAAGCTTTCAATGTCTTCTACAATGTTATCTTCACGAACATTACTTACTACTTGCTGCGTCTGTCCTCTGTCTCGATCTTGTCTGCCGGGTCCTTGCTGCAACTGGTCCCGCTGCTGCGTGTAGCTCCTCAGCCGAGCTATTCTTGTTACGATATCGTCTAACAACCCACTGTCGAGACGTCCACTGCTCTGCTGTCTGCTAGCGTGGTCTTGAACACGATCAAGAGCGTGCTGAGCTTGATTCCCCACATCACGATCCAGACGACCCTGGTGGGCTGGTTCAGCACGTTCTACTTCCCTGGCAATCTGCTGTTCCATGGTTAGTCGACCATCCATCCGTTCGCGTTCTCGTTGCTCTGATTCCAGGCGTTGCCTGTCTCGCGTTGCGTTTTCGTGTTCTTCTCTCCTGGCCCTGTCACCAACTGAGCGCAGCCTGCTTATCCTGACTGCCTCGCGATTCTGCTGAAGAATTATTTCCCTTTCTCGGGCTTCTTGATCTCTCTGTCTCCTTGCGCGTTCTTGTGCCTCTTCATCAAGTCTGACACTCTCCAAGCGTTGTCCATCTGTGGATGGTAAAGTTTGACGGGCCTGTTGGGTAATGGGCCTCTGTCTGTCTATCCTAGCTGTATCTATCGTTTCTTCTTGTTGACCTCTTGATCGCCTAAGTTGATCTTGTTCATCTGTTGAACGAGGCCTTGTGTCTTGCGGCAGATGAGCGGCCAAATTTGAGCCTCGGATTTGCCTTTCGACGCGCCCTCGCTGTACTGTCTCTCGCGATGCCGGCTTCACATCTTGTCGTTCTCGTTGAGATGCTTGTAATCTTTCACGGTTTGCCTCCATCTCGAGCCGCTCCCTCTCCATCCTTGCGCCTTCCAGCCTTGCTCTTGCAAGCTGCTCCTCTAAGTGGGCCTCTAAAGCTTCTTGCAGTGCTTCCAAGTCTGCCTGTGATATCGGTGTGGACTGTGGCTCACGCTCGATGTAGTTTTGCTCGTAGCTGTCTGGAGCTGTGGACCTTCCAGGGACTGCACTGTCTACTGCTGCTGGCCTCTGCTGATTGCGGCTTGCTGTCGTCGTTGCTGCTGCACTGTGAGACAAAGAAGAAGCATGGCTCCTTGGTAGCTCGATAGATCGCAAGTGCTGGGCTAATTGCTCCTGCAGTAGTGCCTTTCGGAGCGTATCTTGTTCCTCTGTCCTGTCTTGTGAAGAGATAATGTACGTGTTGGGCGATGTCCGGTATTCGCTTCGTCCTCTTCCGGTTGTCCCTCCTTCAAACGAGCTCGACGTGGAGTGATACTGGAAATCCTGGGAGCGTCTGCTGGTCTGTGAGGGAGCAAGCGCGCTGAAGCTGACTTGCACTTGGCAGAGCACTCCGCCGAGTACAAAAAAGAGAGCTGGAAAAACTCTTAGCTTCGCGCTCGGGCAGCAGCAAGATATCCTTATCACACGTCGCGCCATCTTTGGAAAATTCGAAGGTGGACAAGAGAATGTGGCTTTGTGAGGGCTCCTACACTTACAGGCTGTGAGCGTCCCAAAACAAGTGGACCTTCGAAGTAGTTGTGGAGTGTGAGGTCGGTCAAGCCAGGGGCCTTAGCCGTTGGAGAAACAGTGATCACGTTTATGTCAAAACACTTTTGCTTACTGAAATACAGCTTAGACATCTAATAAACGATTTGGCGGAGCCTGACCCTGTGAGACTGCTGAGAGAAAAACGAGCTAACGGTTGCTCACCCACAATCGCATAGGTGCCATAAATTAAAGTGAAGCAGCTGGGCATCACCGTCTTCTAGCAAAACAAGCAAACTTTATTTCGAAACACTATTAGGAGAATGCATATCTGTCATATTGTGAGACAAAGAAACGAAGCCCGCTAAGGCTTGCCCGCCGGGCAAGGCTTACCCGCCAACGTGGCGTGTCGGTAAGATCTCTTGTGCCGCGGACCGGCATGGCTTGTCGTAGCCGTCGGTTTGCTGAAATATCTATTTTTACTGTTAAAATAACGATCTTACACTTCCGTGCACGACTTTTTTTGCGGTTCTTCACTGAAGTTCATTCTACGCCGTTGCTTTATCACTCAAGAGACCCGGTGGTCATGTCTGCACCTCCACTCACTGGCTAGCTCCGCAAAAGGCTCCAAGAAACAAACTTTCAGTCCTCTCCAGTAAAATTGCCTTCTTATTGTGCATTTTAGCAGCCAATATTATTCTTACTGTCACGTATTTACCAGTAGTGGGGCGAGTTTCACGGGATTCCGTGAGCAAGATGACGAGTCCACTGGTGACCCACATAAACTAGACGGCCCGCAACTGCTGGCCGATGCTGCTCTACCTTATTCAGTTTCAGCTTTCTCATTAGGCTAGTCAGAAAGATCAGCTCCAATGCAACTTCGACCATTCTATCCTCCTGGGTGATCGTGCCCACAGTGGGGTACAGAGTCCCGCCGATCCGGCGAGTCAGTGGCAATCGAAAAATGTAGCGATACTGGCATCTTATGCACCTGTTCACGGTCGATCAAATCCTAATCCTCCCGGGCCCACTGCTCCACAGCTACAGCCTACTCCCTGTTGATCTCTGTCTGATCTTCGTGAAGAGGACAGCCCCACCCAACAAACACTGAATTCGCTGCTAGGCGTGCACTTTATTGCTTTCTTAGAGGCATAAATACAAAATGCAGGCCCTCCTGACTCCACCTAGCAACATACTACTGGTCGACAGCCTTAGGTTCGTTGCGCGTCAAAGAGCAATCAAGTACGCAGCCACACAGCCACGGAGGTATCGTGCTAAACGAAAAGCCCACCCCGAGCAGTTCCCGGGAAGAGTGCCAACGAAGCGGATGTAGCAAGGTTGGTCTGTAGCCCTAGAAATGGCAGTAAAGCCGGCGCCTGACAAACGATACTACGCATCTGCGGCTAGCGCAGTTTAACAGGCAACTATTTCAAGCTAGGAGGCCTAACCCAGCAACTTCGCGTCCGTCGCGTTGCACGCAAGCCGAACCTGCAAGCCTAATTGCTACTCTTGGGTGGGTCAACACCGCAAGTTGCATGACACCCCTCATGTCCCTCTTTTCCGTTGCAGCTCCCTATCTTCTCAGCTCCAAACTGAATTTCTTTACGGCAAACTTCCGTGCAGCACTGTGGACCGCACAGGTGTACTTAAGACATCCCTGCTGCTGCAAAATTGGGTTTCGTAAGCACAGATATCTTGCGCCATCCGATACTTCGGGATGATTGTCTGAGGTCCCTGTGGGCAAAGAACTCAAACGCGGGCTCTTTTCGGATCCGGCTCACCCTCTTCCGCCTCCTCATCCTCAGCGTTCTCTAATTCATCATCGTCGACATCTTCAGTGCCTTGCGCCTCGACATCGTCCTCTACCTCCTCGTCCTCATCCGGGTCAACCTCCTCCACTTCGTCATCCGGGTCAGTGCCTTCTTCTGACTCTTCCTGTTCAAGATTGTCCGCTTCTCCTTCTCCCTGCTGCTGCTGGCGAGTTCGTTTCTGCCCAAGCTGTGGCGGCTCCTCCTCCTCTACAGAGGCGACATCGCCGTCGTCGAGGCTCTCATCCTCATCATCACTCAACACCTCCTCATCCTCGTCCTCATCTTCCTCCTCTACGCCCTCTTCAGTCTGAGGTGGCAACTGTTCAACCGGCCCGGTTTCTTGCTCTTCTTCAGAACCCTCTTCCTCCCCCTCCTCGTCGTACACTTCGCTCGCTGCGATCCGCAATCCAGCATGGGTCGCGAGACAACTTGAACCCGACGCGGTAGAAAATCAATTAAGTGCTCATCTTTTAGAAGCAGAACACAGAAAGTGGACGCCGAATGCGCTAATTGCATCAACGGCAACCTATCAAGGGAGTGAACGAAGTGGTCAAGACGGCTAGGCAGTAGCCGAGTAAGAACAATCACTTCCAGCACGGCTAAGTATACTGAAATGCAATTCTCCCACTTTCCCCTGGATTTGGCACCAGTAGTAAGCGCCCTGCAGGCCATAAGATTGCTAAACAGAACTTACCGCTGTCAACTTGTTCCTCTGCATCCTTGGCTGCAGGGATTCCTGGACGTGTTTTCGTGGACATCTTCAAGACGTACGTGCGCTGCCCAGCCCTGTTGTGGATATCCTGGTGCCCTCCGAACTAGATTCTTACTGCAGCGGCGGCAGCAGCAGTTTGCAGCCAAGGCCTGTCCGCCGCTGCGCCCTGCAAACGAGTGGCGTCCGGCTAGTCCTTTCGGAAAACACTCTCGGGGTCGGAAGGTCGTGTAGGGCTTGCTTGTTTTGGCACTTGCCGCAACAGTTGCCCAGGCGTTGAGTCCCTCGCTCCGCAGTTAAGAACGAGAGACGCAGGGCCGTTGAAGCCCACAATGCTGACAGACCGTTGCAGCACCACCACGAGAGCCTACAAAGAGAAGTCGGGGTACAGTTCGGCTCAACTTAACTAGTAAGCACTCTAGCTTCAGAGGAGGCGCATGTCTTGTAGAGAAACAGAGCACAAGCAGGCTGGGAGCTGATGCCCTTATGAAAACAGGGAAACAGGAGGCGGTCGCCACAGACGACAGGGTTTGACAGGGGGAATTCAACCGTAATGTTCCGAAAACAAAAATCAAACGGACGATCCCACTTATTTCTGTTCGATTGCACAAATTGAACCCCTCAAGGAGCCCAAAGCCGCCGTTGGGAGCATGCGCCAGAGCTACGTCGCAGCAGCCTCAAGAACGTCTATCTGCGCACCCCTGCAAGCCAGCGGCCCCTCCCAAAGCTGTATTTAGAATCAATTTACTGCGATTTTCTTAAAGGAGAGGCAGGCTAGCTCTCCAGGAAGTGTCTCTAAGCGACGTGTGTTGCAAGGGAGCATCTCAGCATGCTACGCAGCGCCGATGCGGCGGAGCCTGCCCATTGCCAAATGGGAAGGTAGGCACTAATCTGTAGTGCAGTTCTTCCCACAGACGCCACTACCGTCGAACTGGGCTTTCCTCTGCGTCTACCCTGGCGGAGCCGTACCTTTTTGTGTCCCCTGAGGCTCCCCCACTGGGCTCCAGGCCGTCAGCGTGTAACAGTTGAGGTGTGTACAAGCCCCCAAGTGGCTGGCTCTGACATACCTTTTAATAATATGGATTTGGCTACGCCATCCCAGTATATATGTGGACATGGATAAGCAAACAGCCACGGGAAGCTTACTGCAATTGAATGTCGATCAATACATGTTCCAATTCGGAAACGGAGCACCGCGGTACGTGACTCTGTCATATTATGTCTAGAGGGGAGACTAAGTGCGTACTACAACCTGTAGTACTTGTCTTGTAGAAGGCGTAGACAAGGGTGGGTGTCAACGCGTCATTCTGTGGGGCGTGTTATGAATGGGGCCATTTTTACGGAGCTGGACTTCAGAAATTTTCGCACGTGCTTTAGTAATTGTTCTGGATGTAGCGGCGTTTCATTACAACCAGTTGGGGCCATTTTTCTTCTATAGAGGACCCCTTGTCTTTCGAATGCATCATACTGAAACTTTACCAATTCCCCAAACGTTGTCATCGTCCTACGTGATCCTTCTGCAGCTCCAGAGCAGCAGTGGAATCAGTAGAGGTCTGTAGTGCTTTTTCGCGCATTCGCGACTCCCGAGCAACCGCTACGTCTTACGGATCAATTTTAGATCTAAAGATCAATCTATGGCGGGTGGTATCAAGGCATCTAAGACTTTTTAGCCCATGAATTCGGTCTCGTGGCGCAGGTGAGGGATTGATAATGCTCAAGGCTCATGGCATTTAGAGATTCTCTCACCGACAATACGTGCACGCTGTTCTACTTAGAAATATATGGAGGACTAGGCTTATGCTTACATGCTTACTAGTGTGTATAAATAATTGGACTGGCGGGAGTTGATACCCTGCACTGCGTACCCTTGAGTTTCTTGCATGCACAGTTAATTTTTTTAAGACCTTGGACGATCCCCCGTAGGACAAGTGGGCTATCATTCCTTTGGGACGATGGCCTTCCAGTGAGCAGGGAGCTGGCCATATAGCATCTCCACGATGCGTGTGTAAGTAATGGTCACGGGCCAAGGTGCACGTCTGGGTTGTTGCGCGAAGTACGCGCAAAAAGGCTCAACTAGCAGCTGGAGGATTTGCGTCTTCTGGCGCATCACTAGGTGTGGTGCGGTTTCCAGTAGGAGAGAAGTTCAATGCGCAGCTCCACTGCCAGAAGGTACCATTGTACGAGCTACAGCTATTTTATTCAGCCGTTCCATCCCCGTTTTCTGAGTTTTCTGGGCACATCAACCGCTACTTGGAGGTAGTATATTGCTTGGAGATGTTGGATGACAACTACAATCCACATGCATTGAATAGTAACTCAAGGCAATACCGCTCTGAATTCTTTACGCAATGAAGATCACAGTCCTGGGCAGAAGATGTAGAACGTGTGCCAGAAAGGCCAAGCCGCTTCTTCGATATTACGCCCTTTTAGGGCTAAGGTATTACGCCTGTGAGGCCCTACAGTCCACAACTCTTTTGCTAGAGGGCGCAATTCCCCCAACGTGGTATTGTGCACTACCGGTGGCTCATTCTTGCGGTCTGGAGTATGTGTGGACCGTGCATCAGTGAAAGATAAAAAGATAGTCTTGCGAGTTCACTGTGGTAGGCATTCAATGCGTAGTTCAGGACTTCAGTGGCCTCCCAAACTCACGTCTAGACAGAGGAACAACCTGGTGATGGGCCTGTCTCCACTATTCCCCCTGCTAGTTAAGTCCTGTTCTGGCCGTGGTCACTTTTGTTCCCTTTGGCGCCCTCGGAAACTTAACAACTTGGCCTAGTTCCTTTGAGGTTGTCAGCATCAGACGTCGGGATCAGCTGGAGCTGCGGCTCTTTAGGACAGCCAAAAGGACAGCCTAAACCCAGCCAACGCTGGGATACAGCACCATGATTTCCTTCCGTTCCAGCTGTTCCACTGCCAGTCACTCCTTTTGAGTGCCGCCCGCCTTCCGCGTGGAACAAGCCAACTGCTTTTGCGCTCTTTCTATATGCAACCATAAGCCGCCTGGGACCACTCCACTCTGTGGTCCGCTTTTTCACGCTCTGGCCCGACTTGATGCTCTTCCTCATCATGCTTTCTGGATAGTCCTAAACTAGCGTCTGTAGACTAAGACGACGTCCACTGCGCTCTTCGTACAAGCCAGATGGGGCTGGAAGCCCATGGAAGCAGTGAAGGCCTCCGCCAAAGCAATTCTAAATTCTACAACTACAAGCAAACACTGAATTATAAAACAAGCCTGTATGCCTGTTTGTGAACTTCCTGAATTCGGGAAAGTTGACGCAAGTCAGCTTTCAAGCATTAAGAGCGACACGAAGTGCCTCTTGCATGACTTGTCTACCACGTTTTCGATTGTGCTTATGTGCTATCATCTCGTGTTCACGATAAGCTTTTGTTTAGCCTCAAAATGTTTGTAGTTGAAGCCGTTTTGAACAGCGGAAAGTATGGCTGTGGGCGGGCTACCGATCGTTGAGGTCACTTGGGGTCAGTTTCCCTGGCGTGCTCGCTGCAGCGGCACCATTAACGCAGCTCTCTTATCTCCCAATTGGGAACACAGCTCGAAACATAGACATTATCTGTAAAACCAGTTAAGGTTGAGCATGGTGAATGCTGGGACGAGGTGGGCTCACTGCCTGTCCACTTTCTGTGTTCCCGCCGATTCACATGGAAGGAACACAGTAGTGATGGCCAGGGCCGCAGCCCTAAACCGGCCCTATTTTCTGATGTGGGGTTGTGGGAGCCCGCAACCCCTAGCAGCATGAAAGCAGCATTAAACCATAGAGGCGACCCTGCCGCTCTGACACTTTTGGCACGCCCAGAAAGCCATAGTTCAAAGAAGGGTCCCACGCAAGCACGCAAAGCCCCTGCCCGCATTTCCGCGAGGGTAGACAGGGACTCGTCCTCTGTGCTTAGTGGCCAGGTTCCCAGCGCTCCTTGGGATCTAGAGTTGTCGCCCCCTCAGCTTGTGTTCAAGGAGGTGATTCCTTTCTCCCGCCGATGTGCCCCCTTAGTGATTCTCAACAAAGGAAAAAGGCCTCATCCAGTTCGAGTACTGAATAAAGAGGACGGGGGTCTATGCATAGGCACAGGCACTGAGCTCAGGCCTTATCCTGTTCTGTGTCCTTTGCTAGCTCCAGGGCTGTCCCTTCGTGTGCATGTGGAGGCTCCGCCTGTTGTGGGACTCTTTAGTAAAACTTCACTACGGATTCTTGGGGCTCGTCAGCAGGTGGAGGTTCCAGTGGAGGCTCGAGCTCCTGTGGTTCGGTTCAGGTGCCCTCCCCGATTGCGGTTCCCAGTTTGTTTTCCAGGGCAGCTGCAGCAACAGCTATTCCCCGTAGCAAACACGAGCACGTATGTCATGAAAGCGCAAGTCAGCATAGGCCGAGACGTCAGTGCTCCCCTAAGAAATTTGCTTGAGCAGCAACTCGTGCGCCTCAGTATTCATCCTCAGAAGTTGAAAATAGAGCCGGGATCTGTTGGCGTTTTCACGGCTGAGCTGCGCTTGGACTGCCCAGCAGAGGTGACCTTACCTCTCACAGTAGTTTGTAAAAAGTCATTAAAGACACCTGTATCTCCCCGATGCAGTCTGGTGGCAACGACAGGCTTGGCCGACAGCCAGCCTCCCACAGGCGTCGTCCAGTGCTCAAGGCGGCCGCCAGCTTTGGCGGGTACGGTGCAATGGTCGGGCACCGAGCCTTGTGTCGAGGGTCACCTCCAGCTGCACGCCTCGTGCGTCGCACCGCGCTGGTCGTTCTCAATTGACGGTCGAGAGCTGAAGATTCTGGACTTAGGGGCGCTCTTTCAGGGTCAAGAGCGCTGTGTCACTTTGCACGCAGACAATCTTTCAGCCCTTCCTCTGGCAATGTGTTTTGCCGCCCCAGAGTCAACATTCAGATTTCCCACAGGGAAAATTAAAGCAGAGCCTAGGAACTATGAGACATTCCAGCTAAAAGAACAGGGCGTTCGGGGATCAAACGGTGTGCCTTCTCAGGAGGGACTAGATTATAGGGACTATTATTCAGTCGTTAAAGCGGCTGACAGGTCGGAGCTGGCAGAGGGCTCCCATGATGGTGGAGTCATTGCAAGTCCTCGTACAGCTGGGCCCCTCTTGGACGATTCCAACTTATCCGAATCTTCAAGGAGCACAGAATGCAGAGATACCTCATGGGCTGCCCTTATTGAAACGTTTGCCTCACCGAAAACTGAGGTGCAGAGTAGTCTCGAAATAGCAAATGTTGAGGACCTCCCGAAGCCACTAGACAACCTGACAGCACCTCGAGGTGCAACGCATCGAAGAGTGGGGTGGCCTCGCCAAAGACAGCAACAGCGGGTACCCAACGGGACCAAAAAAGAGCCTCACGAACGCCCAAGAGAAGATACGTCTTACCCTTCAGCTCAAAAGGAAGCTCCGAATCCTGGTAACGCGGAACAGTTCCCATGCCTCCCACCGAAAGGGCCCCAGCTCAAGCGGCGGCGCTGGATTTCTCCGCCCATTGTTTCCATTCCAAGAAGTGAGCCAGCTATGGCGGCAGCAATCGCTAAGGAAGGAGGCCACGGACCTGTAAGAGAGCCCCTGCCTCAAGCAAATAATGAACAGGAACAGCCCATACAGGGATCCCTTTCACAGTCTTCCTCTCAAATGGCTATACAGCGCCGATACTCTTACACGCCCTCGACTTTACTTCAAAGTCTTGTGGGGCTGGATGACTTGTTACACCTGTACGACATCGAGGTAACCCCATCCATGCTGCTGCTGCCTCCTCGGTCCTCCGCAGCAGTACGCCTGACACTACGGACTCAGCCCTGTGAGATTCGTCGCGGGTTTCAGCACATGCAAAATTGGCGCAACTTGCAGGTGCCCTTGGCCTTCCAGCTACACGTGATGGTGGCCGTTGCTGGCCAATGCCCCACGCGCAGCGGCGAGGAAGAGCTTGCCTGCACCGGGACTCCAACGACAGCGACACGACATCTTCGAACCACTAGCAGATGTAACAATAGCTGGCTCTCCTCACATTTAAAGTCTACGCGTACGGCATACCCGGCAGCGAGGGGAGCTCTCAGCGAGCCCACCGGCCAAGTAAATTCCTGCATGCCTCTTCCAGCTCCAAAAGGAAGGCCCATCGTGGCGCGCCTGCGGCCAGAGACAGCTGGGACAGGCCTCACTAGCGACAAATCCCGCAGAGGTGGGATCAGGGGAGGGGACCAGAGCGACTCTTCGGACCCACGAGAAAAATCTGTATGTGTCCTTTTGTACGATATGCTTCGAGCATTTATTGCAGAGAAAGGGGAACAGCATAATGACCAGAGGCTGCTCTCATTGCCTAATCATTGTCCAGTACCCGTCCCATGCATCTCCGCTACAGGTTCATGCTGTATAACGTTGCAAGATGTGGCAGTGCCGTCGACGCAGGCCTCGCCATGCATGCCACCGCTAGACGTTGTGAAAAATTCTGTAGGCATCACATATAAACAGTCGTGCTGCAGTGGCTCAGGAGATTCTTACTGCGTTTCTAGCGAGGGGCTTTCTCTACAAGAGAGGCAGAGCGTCACTCACCAGTTTTTTCAGGGTTGCTGCGTGTTGAGCTTGCCACGTCTGGAATTGTCGCCTGCTGAGCTGCACTTTGCTGGCTGCCCTGTGGGGGAGTGCCAGCAGCAGGCGCTGTACTTGTACAACTGCAGCGCCGAACTTAGCTTGGACTTCTGCTTTGACGCTCGCCACCCCTTCCGCTGTATGCCCTCCCAGGGAAAGGTGCCCCCCCAACAGCAAGTGCAGGTACACGTTATCTTCGCTCCGACGCGAATGGGGCCAGTAAGGCAAAAGCTAAATGTTTTCTTCTGCAACCGGTCGTATAGCAGGACTGTGTGTATTGTAGGGACGGGCCTTATCACGTCGAGACTCCCACCATGAGGCAGCCACCACTGGCAGGAGGGAACATAACGGCAGAGCAGTGACCGCTTTCTGCAAGGCCATAGAGCTGCAGAGAAAGCAATGGAAGCAATACAGTGTTTGCGCTCACAGAAATGACGTCATAGCGGGCGCCATCATTGCTACTTTGGCTCTTACTGAGCTGTAGGGATGTCAGGTGGAAAATCCCGAATCCGAGGGCTCTTCGGGATTCCCCAGGACGCAGCATGTAGAACTTTGGAGTAACACTATATAGAGGAAACGGGGGTTGCGCGTGCTCCCGAATAGGCACAACTCCTGCTATGAAGTGTTCAGGCGCGGCAGATGCGCTGCGTTGAAATTCCCAGGCAGTTTCTTGACATTGCTTGGGTTTGCGTTGCTGCTTCCCGAGCGGCTGTACATTGCAGTTTACGGACACTCGGCATTTTCCCCACAATGCTTTCAGCCCCCTAGATTGTTCGCCAAAGGCTTAACTTCATTCTGGAGGTCTTGCGCACTATAGCCGCAGCTTGGGAGACCAGAAGCATCGTGCTGGGGAATCCACTATTTCGAAGTAGATGTGAAGCAACCTTCATATCGACTGCGAAGGCATTCCTAGTTTTCAGTTGCTCAGCTGTATATTAAACCAGCTTTTCTTTCTGTCCTTTATTGGTCCTGCAGTGAGCTACGTAATGTAAGGGCGCATGTGCATCTGCAGAACAAATCTAAACGAATAGCCTCAACTTTTTCTGTTTGTAGGCCCGAACCAAGTGTATTCTGAGATAGTAGCAGACACGCCTGAACTATATGGCACCCGACAATCGCTGCTACTGTGCGCATACAAAAGGCTGCGAGGGTGCCGATAGCGGCGGCTGCCGGTTCTTTGCAGCACACAAAGCTTGTAGTACTGGTAGCTGGGACTGTCTTTTGAGCTCCAATGCGCCGTTTCTGGGTCTCGACACAACTGACTCATTTTTAGTGTGAATGCGTCTCGTAAGGCTGACAGCGAAATAAGCCGCCAAAGCGCCTCACTGCAGCGGAACCGCCGTCGTGCAGCAGGCACGGAACGGAGAGGGACACGGGCTAAGGGGCTCCTCGAGTGCAGTCGGGCAAGAGCTGTAACTGGGCACCTGCACTGTGGGGGCATCACGTGATAACCCATAGAGAAACTCTCGCTGCGGTGTCTCAAGAGCTGCCGTCGATGACAACTGTTCAATCGGAGCAACCCGCATGGAGGCTGGCCACCGCTGTTGCAGTCCTTGCGCCACCAAAGTGACAGGGGGCTCAGTAACTGCACAGCCAGAGAGAAATGCTGATCGGGTCTCTTCTTGCTGCAGTCCCTGAACTAGCGCATCCAGTTCTGCAGCAACAGCGGAACCAGCAGCACCAGCTCGAAGGCCTTGAACGCCGAAATGTGTCAGGGTCCAGCACCAATGGAATCCAGATACGCAGAAGCAGCGAAGATGAGATCACTCACCTGCCTCCTGCGCAGCGTAGTCCGTTAAGTCTGAAACCTTTGAGCTCATGGGAAAGTTGTTGCTGTTTCGGTCGGTGCTGTTGCGATGCCCGTCGTGACTTAGAATTACAGAAGGTTGAACGAGTCTCGTCTTCGGAAACGCGTTGGGGCTGCTATCTGCGCTACTGCGACTGACACTGGGGGGCAGCTCGTCAGAGGAGCCAAAATGCACACCCAAATCACACGGGTCGGCAGATTGGAGGCACGCCTCAGTCACAAGCCCGTAGCCAAGGCGGGGTCTGTACGGGCTCAGATGAAGCAGCGTTGGATGAGGCTCAGCGGACGACACCAGCAAGCTTTCCCCCTCTTCGCTATTCTCCTGACCCTCCTGTGGACGAAGCGTCTCAAGAAACCCATAGTTCTCCGCTACCCCGGAGCTAGAAGCAGCAGCTGCTGATGCTGCTGCTGCTGTTGCGCTGCCAGGCCCAAATGCTGGCGGCAAATATATATAAGGTTTGCCAAAGGCGGCCGTGTCAGCACTTAACGACCGTCCCTGCTGACTGCCAATCAAATCTGAAGACACGTCCAGCAGCTGCTGGAGCCTCGCGGATGCTGCTGCGGCTGCTATTGCTGATACGCGGCTAGGCGCGTCCACGTCGAAGGCGTTGCTGCTGCTGACAGCCGAGTGTTCTGTTGTTGCTGCTGCTGCTGCTGCGCTGCATGCAGCAAGTGCAGCAGCGTGTGAACGCAGAGCGGAAAAGCCCAATGCTTGGCACTTCAGCAGGTGCACTTGCAGCCACGTGCCTAGCTGCAGCAGCATCTGCACTCTTAAGAAGGACCTGCATCAGAAACAGAAAAGGCACACTCGGCTCACAACCTTGAAAGTGACGACCCTCCAAGGACAGAAAAGAACATAAAACGAAGCCAAAACCAGAGTTTCTTTAGCTCCTGGCTGAGTGTTGAGCTTGTAAGGACATTATTTGCAATTGCGTCGTCCGGTGTGTTGGCTGTCCATTCTTAGAGATCTTGACGCATGAATACAGCAAAACGTCAATGTTTTCTACATACATAAAATCCCTTACCGCATGGTCCGCCCTGTTTCCTGCATCTGCTGGAATTTCAGAAATGCGCCACGGAGCTGTCGAAACCTACCGCAAGAGCAGCAGCAGTATAATTGCAATATACGAAAAAACCACTAACCAGTTGAAAGCTGCTTCCTCTCTTCTCTCATTTGCACTCAGACCCCTTAGGGGAGCCTGCCCATGAAGTGGGAGAAGTCAGCCGTGCAAAGGCACGAGCAGACGTAAGCAATGGCTGCTGTCATCAGAGGGATTCTAACTATTATGATCCAACTAAGTTCCGACCACAGGCATGCCACCCCTGCTAAGCTAAGCTGATATCATTCATGACAGGAGGCAACAGTGGTGACGTACTGGACCCTCTCAAACACAGACGCTACTCTCCGCACAGCCGTTTGCCGTAAGTCCTGCGGAGGGGGGCGCTGTAAACAGAGCCACCCACAGCGCAGTCGCTGCAACTGCTGTTCCTTCAGCAACAGGCCCAGTAGCCACGCCGCTCTCATCTGCAACATACACAGCGCACAGCAGCAGCTGACGCAGCAGCACCAGCTTTGGGAACTCAGGCACATGCATGCTAAACCAAGACACATAAGTATCGGTGACTAACTGTGCAACTCTCTGCCACAAAACCTAAGCTCTAACCTTCTGTCTGCACATCTCGCGATGGTCGTGGACGTGATTCTTGAGGCTGCTTAGTGCCGCCTGGAGTAACTTTTGCCGTTTCATCTCCAGTAGAATCATCAGCAAGACCAAGGCGCGAACTCGTTGCTTTCCGTCCTTAATCGCCTTCCTCCAGCTACGGAAAGCCCACAAGAGTCGCTGCTGCAGCGACTGCTGCAGTGAAGCCACGAGAAGCATGACGGAACGCTGCCGAGGCACTTGGCGCATGGAAACCAGAAGCCGCTCGTTCACCTGCAGACAGGGAAAGGCGCGAACCAACCTAAGTACAAACTTAAACAGCTACAGGTCTCACTAGCCGAAAGAAACCCCGCATGTGGCATTTTTTAACACCTGCCTGATGGGCTGGGCTCCCAGCTGTCAGAGAAGCTGGCCTTTCGTTAGTACGACTATGCAGATGAGCTAACTAGCTGGTCATGCTGCTTCTGAATCTGTGTTCCTTGTCCCCCAGAATGCCGCGGGACGTGTTGGACACTAGATGAGGCAAATGCTTACTTGCTGAATGTTGCTGCAAATTCTCAGTTTTTCCTCCATATTTGCTGCTGCAGCGTTGCGTTGCAACAGCCGCAGCACACTGCGCATGCGAGCCTTTATACAAATGAAGACAAGAAAAAGGGCTCTTTGGCTCCCAGCTATGCAAGCTTGCCTTTGAACTAACATGTTCCACATCAGCCGTTGCCAGCTCCACCTGAGCCGCCTTAAGCGCATCTGCTGCATAAGCTGCTGCAAGGCATCTTGCTGCTGTTGACGCATCAGCCTTGCCCCCCGCATTTTGCTGAAAGCTTCGCCAAGCAGCCTGTGCTGCAGCCTCTGAATGGTGCAACAAAGCCTCACAGCCCGTCCCTTCTGCGTCTGCTGCTCTGCTGCCGTGAGTGTGCTGAGGAGGCGAAGCTTTGTAAAAGCTGCATGGAGCCGTTTTTCCACAGGTCGTTGTAAGGCGTACTTAAGCTGTTGATGCGCCACTTGCAATCGCTGCGTGGCTAGCTGGAGGTGGCCTGACGCCATGGTGGCAACGAAAGCCGCCGCCTGCTGCTGCTGCTGTCGCAAGAGTGCATGCAACCTCAGACCCTGCACTGCCCACGCCTCCTCTTGTCTGCTGCGTAGTCGCATCCACTGCTGCAAGAGCAGTACTCCTCGCGATACCTGTGTGGCTCGCAGCTGTGCTGCTGCAGCACTTGCTGCTACTAGTGCCCGCAATCGCCCAAGGAATTCGCGAGCCCAGCGACGCGAGGCCTCCTTTACGAGTGCTGCTAGCTGCGTTAGCAACAGTCCGCGGGTTGCTGCGTGCAGCTGCTTTTGCAGCAGCAGTAGCTGCTGCTGGCAAGGGGGACGGTAAAGAAAATCTGGAACTGAAGGGCGTGACCTGAACAACAAGGTCAGAATATCTTTGCTCAACTACTTTGAATTCGTAAACGCAAAAACAAAGCTCGAAGCAGGCGAAACTCTGGACGAAATCAAAGTCGTCTGTGCCACCACATAAGCAGCACTCCTTGCTTTTGCAACTGCATTTGCTGCTCTTGCTACTATATCTGTAGTGCAGCTCCACACATGCTACATATTCAACTGGTGCTGCTGCAGCGAGCATGTGTTAACTCAGTAGTAGCTGCTGCTGGTGGAAATATCTTGCCTCCATTTGTCCGCTAGGTGCAATATGTGCTTAAGGAGGGCATCGCGCTCAGTTGGGCTCTGCATGCCAAACAGGATGGTCTTCGCCGCCTTATGTTTTCTCGCTGCCCCCTGTTCCTGCTGCCTGTTTACTGCTGCTGCTGCTGCTGCTGACGCCACAATCTTCATGCGGTAGGGGGCTTTTCCTTTTGCCGCTGCCGCAGCGGACACCTTCCCTCTCCCATCCACAGCCCACGCCGACGCGATGGATGCGAGGGGTATCAGCAGAGACACCTCAAGCGGCTCTGTGCTGCTACAAAAGAGCAGGAGGTTCTGGTGCAGCAGCAGATCTTCCTCAAGCCAGCGCGGCGGCAGGAGACCCCTAAACCTCCACACATGCGCCTGTGGAACACACAAGGTGCAGAGAAAGTCACAAGATGAGCACGATCATGCTTTTGCTTCTAGTCTCGTTCCTACTGTTGCAGGTGGTGTCGATGTTCCTCGTGCCGTCGCTAGTGCTGCTTTTGGAATAGAAGGCGTGAAGCTGCCGCTCTTGTTTTCGACGCAGTTGTGTTGCACATTCTGCAAACGTGAACAGACCATGCAACTACGCGCGCGCAAAAGGCGGGTGCAGTAGCAACAGCAGCACGAGCCAGTGCGAGCGCATCTATACCAGCAGAGGCGTAAGAAGCCTTGTGCTGAGTGGTTGAGCTGACAGACCTTAAGAGTTGTTTGGCTGGGGGATGGGAGAGCGAGAAGATCTCCGAGGTTTCGCGCTTCGAGAAACGCATAAGATGGAGATGAAATGGCGGGCAGCATTTCAGCCAGCATCCGCGGTTGCTGCTGCTTCTGCTGATGCGGCTGCATGAGTTGCAGCATGCTTTCACCGAGAGAGCCCCTTCGAGAAGAAACACCAACCGTGCCGCCTCCAGGAACACCTGGCCTCTCCCTATCTACATGATGTGCTGGATTTGCTGGCTGTTTCGCTAGCTCGATGCTCCGCAGAGTCCTCGGAGAAGGTGGAAGCTGCAGCCCTAGATCATCTGGCTCAGACTCATCCACAGACTCTAAGCGAGCTCGAGCCCCAGCAGCAACAGAGGAAGTGAAAATAGGCCGGACAGCACCGTGGGCAGCAACGGGCTCGAATTGACGCGAAGCAGCAGCTGCGGCTGCGGCTACTGCTGCTGCTTGGGATGATGGATACACAGACGAGATACACGAAACACAAGTGCCACCAAACCCGCCCGCTGCTGCACGTGGTGCAGTGCAGTCATATGCCTCACTATCGCTGCTGCTGCTGTCGCTGCACCTGCTGCTGCTCCTACCGCTGCTCGCGCTGCTGCTCCTATTGCTGCGTCTCCGCTGTCCTATTCGCTGTTCTCCGGCGCGCTTCTCAGCTGCAAGTGTCTCTGCAACAGCAGCGGACGCCGCCGCAGCAGCCGCTGCTGCCACAGTAACCGCATTCCTTGATGCTGCAGCTGCTGCACTTGCTGCAGCTGCTGCAGTCTTGCTGGTCTCGAGAAGCAGAGGGGCTTTGCTGCTAGCTCGCTGCAATCGTGAAGACAGCCCGTCAAACGCTGAACTGCTGACTGACATCAAAGACCGGCCTCCAGTCATTCCGCGTTCCCTGCGGGTCGCTGGGGACCTCCCGCCAACAGCAGCAGCAATAGATGGTGCTGCTATTTCTGCCGTTGCTGTTGCTGCAGCTGCTGCTGCAGACCCTTTTACAACGGACGGAGCAGGTAGGGTCCTCGGTCTTGAAGGGATTACATGTCTCTCGAATGGCCCATCCGCTGCCAATCCAGGTGTACGTACAAAGCGCAAAGGGGTCGTTACTCTGCTCTGTGGTGCACCCTCAGCAGCTGCTACTGTTGACGCTGCTGCTGCTGCTGCTGCTGTTGCTGCAGATGCTGTTCTCTCTTCGTGGTCACTGCGCGGCTTCGAAATAGCAGCCGCAGGCTGCGCGCCCGCTCCCGCCGATGCTGCTGTGAGGCGAAGAGGCTGCGTTTGCTGCTGAGTCGCCGTCACCGGACAGCTGTGTTCCGAAGCAGCAGCTGCTGAAGCAGGCGAAATTCTCCGACATTTCAGCTTGCTGCTGGTGCTGCTGGTGCTGCTAGTGCTGCAGGGGCTATGAGTGGCAGCTGCTGGTGCCACTCTGTGACAGCACTCAGAATAACCTCTGGGGATTCTTGAAGAGCTGACCCAAGAACTGCAGCTCGAAGGACTTTGAGTCATGCTGTTCACGCAGCAACGGCGACCTGGAAAGCAAACTGAGTTGTCGCTCAGCCATCTGGGTGCTGCATCTGCATCAGTTGCTGTTGCTGCTGCTGTTGCTGTTGCTGCAGGTGTTGATGTTGCTGCCGCTACTGCAGCTGCTGCTAGTGTTGCTGTTTCTTCTAATCTTGTTTCTGTTGTTGCTGCCGCTGCTGTTGTTGCTGGTGGTGCCGCTGCAGTTGGTAGCCTCAGCAAGGCGTTTGACGTCTCTTCATTCCCAGTGGCTTGTGCCTGCTGCTCAGGCGCGTGTTCCCGGTGAATGTGGTTTTGCTTCTCTTGTGTGTTCAAAACTGGAGGATCGAAGAGAATGAGCGTTTCAGCAGTCCTGCAGTGCCTTGGAGGGACTTGATGCACCGCGCAAGAGCTGCTGCCGCTGGTATTGCTGCTGCCGCCGGTATTAGTGCTGCTACTTCTGCAGCCGCTTCCTTCTCTCCGTGAAATCCATGATCCATGTAGATTTTCGTCTGGGTCTCCAGGCCCCACTGCTGCCAGGACGCCAGTGAGCCCGCTGCCGACGGCTGTGAAAGTTTCGCTTTCGAGAGCGTCTAGGCCAAAGGAGCCCTGGGACACCGAGTGGGCCTCAATGTGTCCCGAAAGATGAGCTCTTTGGGCCATTTTCCAGGCTCGAGGGCTTCATAGGGGCCCGTAGTGGTTATTCTGCTGCCGTTGCGAGAATCGATTGTTCCTCTGCTGATGGCGGAGGCTGAGGGTGGGGCCCCCGTACCCTTGGAACATCAAGTTTTACGCTTTTTCATAGAGAAAGTGAGTCAGGGGCCCCAAGGAGACAGGCTGAAATCTCTACTGCGTCGGGAGAGAGCAGCAAGCTGTCGGCTGCGTTTGGCTGGACCTTTTCGCAGCTTCGGCGGCTTGCCCGTTACCACTATTTGGAGGTATATCAGGATCTACTGATGAGCAAATAAACAACCTAAATGAATTTGACTAAAAATGAGAAGAGATGCACTTATCATTCCGCGTGAGATTGCGGACTTTCAGTCGCCTTTTTGTCACAAGGACAGCCGGGCTTGGGTTGCGTCTGAGATCTGTGGCGCGTTCGTGCAGGAGTGTACATCACGCTCCCTTGTATTTATTTTTATCGAAACTTATGTAAGTATCTATTCAAATTCCAAAACCAAGGCTACCTAAAGCAGGATCGAACGTGGTGATCTCGCCACTGGCATCTGGCACTGTGACTCCCCAGGTCTGCAGCCCCTCTACAAATGCTTCAGCAGAGCTGGAACACATTCAGTTAAATGTACTTTCCCTTTTCAGTTCTAAAAGACATGATCTAAGTCAGGCAGCGTAGATGCTCTCACTGTGTCCTTCAGTTGCTGCACCCCTCTGCGATGCTTGAGCTTACTCTATCTGCATGGGCTATGTGCACTGGCTGGTTTGCATAGCCCCCTGATTAGTTGACACAGCACTCAAATGAGTTTATATTTGGTCAAATTGCATTTTTTTGGACCGAAATACCCGTAGGGCCAAACACTTGCAGTGGTTAGTGCAGCGGCTCTGCACTACCCGTAGGGCTTTCCATAGCGCTGAATTACACTCAATGCAGCCTCTTCTTAGCGGGTTCCATTTAGCCGCAGATCCTTAAAGTAGGTCTGCAAGAGCACTAATCGTTTTGCGCTGCTAGTTTGCCTTCAAGGTTCCAGCTGTTCTTGTCCCTTGCACACTGTAAATTCCGGGCTTTGCCAAAACAACTACACATGCACTTTCTTCTTCAAGTTTTCTCTTCAGGCTTCCAGTTAAAGCAATCGGCCTTCCTGGACTCAGTCCACCCCACCCAGCCCATATACCTCACTTTTCGCTTGTAGATCTTCCTTGTAGCCTATAGATCTTTCTTCTACTCTATAGATCACACCTGTACCTTGTAGAAATCACCTATAGCTTGAACGTGCGACTTTTCAGTGCTTGCTCGGTAACGCCTAACTTCGGGCAGGGTCCAGTACGAGGAGTGTTTTCTTTTCTGCAGGCCGCTGTACTTCCCTAGCTAGAGCATGGTTTACTCTTCCCACAGCGCTTCCATTTATTCATCCTGTCCGTGCGCGTCCTCTACTTCACGATTATTCTTGTAAATGAGAGTCTGTGGGCTTAGCTGGAGGCCTCCCCCGAGCCAGCCGCCGAGATCAGTCGCTTTAGCCGTGTAGCTCGGTGTGACGTCCTTAGTTAGAGAAGGAACACTTGAGACATTTTCACTCATATATGCAAAACCGCGCTAGTAGGAAGTAGAGGCCTTCGGCGCCTGTTACTGGTGCTGGCTAGCCTAGTGTCATTACTACCTTCTGCCATTAATTTAGTGTATATGACTTTGGCGCGTCGGAGTAGACTGTAGTCACTGAAAAGTGCTACTTTCGGCATTTAGAAAAGGGGCTATTAAAGCCCCTCTGTGGTCTCTATTTAGGCATGGTGAGGCCACACAATTCATGTAGCGTGTCAGCTACTGCACTTGAGGAGTTTTGAACATCTCCACCTACTTTGCCAAATAGAGCATGGCGCTAGGGGTCTGTCGCTGTTGGGATATTCCTTATATGAATGACTGAATAAGGTAATGTCCTGTACAAACAAATCTGCACGTCACGCGGAACTCGCAAAGCGTTCGCAGTTGGGGAGTGGCTGTGCACTCCATTGCAGCCCCTCCTCCCTGATCTTAACACGAAAACTCTTTTGGGCTTCACTAAAGACATTCCTGGGAAGCTTTTGAGGAGAGATCAGCGGTGTATGATGATCGGGACAGCAGCGCGGCGAAAAAAGCTTTTTGTCATTTGCCTCCTGGGGCTCTTACCCCTCCATCTGCCGTTTTGTAGTGGGGCACTATTGGAAGTGACTCGATTGTCCTGTATCCCGACAATATTTGACTCGAGTGCCTAATATACTGATGGTATTTACTTCTTTTTGTCCCAAATCCCACCTTTGCTGTATTAAGTAATGCCTTGGACCCTTCAGAGCCTTCATATACGCCAGCAAGAACAACCACTGGGGGAAGACTGGCCGCTGGTTGCGGGCTGCTTTCCTGAATGCTGCTTCGAGTAGTTCTGTTTCTAAAATGCTGAAGTCTGTGCGACACATAATAAAGTTCCATTGGCTGTCGTATTAGGGGCAGTAGTGATGTTTCCTTCCCCAAACTCAAACAACTCACATTACAAGAGAACAGAAATTCTCGTTCTGTAACTGGATCGCAGCTCATCGAAATGCTCTTCAGCCTCAAGTATGGAGCTCATGGGGTTGCTGCGGCGAACTCCTTACATTCAGGCGGAGCACTCTGTGTGCCATTTGTCGCCACTAACTTAGCTAGCAGCTTTTCCTAACCCCCGGAGGAGCTCTAGGCCACAAAGCCTGCCATACACTACTGCAAGTCCTTATCTGTGCTGCGTAGAGCCATACACGGGGGCTCGTTGGGCGTTCTGCAGATTCGGGCAATAAGCGGGATTTGGCCGCCAGTTGCACTTCAGACAGTTTCATCTTTCCTTTCTGGCGCCACTATCCCAAGTCTCGCCTTTTGCACACAGAGTTGAGACTTTGATGCGTGCTTTTGCGCAATACAGATTATCATTTAGAGCAGAAAGCCACACAGATCCGCTATGCGGAGATGACACGAAAGTTCCACGTGCCTCACCGGGGCCGCTTCAAAGCCCTAGCAGAAGCCTGAGCTCTCGTTTTGAGGCTTCTTAGGGCGGCATCACCACTTTAAAGAAAACAACTTCAACAACGAAGCCAGCACGGCGCGCAACACTTGCGCTTACTGAGTAAACTCTGAGAGACAGGTGGAAGGTGTGGAAGGTGGAAACCATGGGAGAGCTGTCGGCATATCCACCACAATACGAAGGGTGTTTTGACAAGAAGCCGTACTAAGCTAGAGTTACGCATAATGCAAATTGCGTAGTAAATACAATGAGTTCCATGCAGAATTAAATATTGTGGGTTCAGGTTAGTGTGACACTCACGGCTGGCAAGGTAGCAATGGCACAGGTTGGGGCTGTCTGGAGTGCCTGCACAGGGCAGAGATAGGTTGCGGAGAGATATTAAGTCCCATTTTTAGTTAGAGTCCCAGGATTTTTTGTTCAATATGTTTTGAATTTTAAGCATACTTAGGCGAGACTTAAGCTCAAGTTAGACTCTGCACTTCCAGTAGAGTCGGCGCTCCAGTCATCTGTAGGCTGTAGCCACTGTTCAGCTCACTACGCATAATGTGCAGCGTTTGTGGGGCCTAACTAGCGTTTTAAATTCTTATTGGTTCTTTTGGTTCTCTGTATGTGCTCCTGAATGCGCTGTTTGGCTCTTTGCCGGTATGGAGAGGGGCCAGACGGCGAATCCTGTCGCCGGGGTGCAGCAGCAGCCGGAAATGGGTCCCGCTGCAGCAACCTTTCGCCGGGACATGAAGGGGAGAGTGAATCCCGTGTTCATGGGGCGGCTGCATCACTGCGGCCAGGCCTGTCGCTTCTCCCCCTTTTCCGAGAGTCTTGTGGCCGTGGGTTCTTCGCAGCTGTTCGGCATGGCAGGCCCTGGCTCTGTTGAAGTCTTTGTGCTGCAGCAGCCGCAGTCTCTCCCAGCAGCCCCGGAGCTGCCCCCTGGAGTCCGACACACTGCAGACATCCCCGCAAACCCCAGAGATGTGCTTCAGCCGCAGCGAGTTGCCCTTTTGAACCACAAGGAGGCAGTGAACGACGTGGCCTGGTCGGAGTTGAGTGCGCAGACGCTGGCAGCTGGGGGTGGCGGCGGGGCCATTACTGTGTGGCGGCTGGGGCAGCAGCAGGGGCCCCCGGGGCAGCAGCAGGGGCCCCCGGGGCAGCAGCAGGGGCCCCCAGGGCAGCAGCAGGGGCACCCCAAGCAGCAGCAGGGGCCCCCCACGCTGCCTGCGCTGCCTGCAGCAGGAACCTTTGGAGGCGTGGCTGTGCAGGAGCTGAAGGGCCACACCCGCGACGTGACCAGCCTGAGTTGGAGCTGCGTAGATAAGCGGCTGCTGATTTCTTCTGCGCTGGACGGGCAGCTGCGGGTGTGGGACATGCAGCACAGCAGCAGCGCCGCCATCCGCGTGCTGCAGCACAGCGCAGCAGCAGGCTCCTGCTTCTGCTGCTCCTCCCCTGGGGAGGCTGCGCTGGTGGCCTCCGTGGGCGCAGACTGCCGGCTGGCTGTCCACGACTTGCGCAGCCCACAGGGGGCGGAGGGCCCCCAGGGGGCCCCCACAGCTGCTGCCTGGAGTGTTGCAGCACACCCCTGCGAAGCCCTGGCTGTGGACTGGATGAAGCACCGGCCCTGGCAGATCCTCACGGGGGCTGCAGACGGCACTGTGGCCCTGTGGGACTTGCGGAGAAGCGCGGGGGCTGCAGGCGCTGCAGCTTCGTCGGGGCCGCCAGCTGCTGCTGCTGCTGCTGCTGCTGCTTGCCGGGTGTCCAGCACCCAGGCGCACCAGCTCGCCGTAAGGCGCGTGGCGTCTCACCCATTTGAAGCCCGAAGGTTCGCCACTTGTTCATATGACATGCAAGTCAAGATTTGGGACGCAGATGAGGGCACCACAATTTCAGTATCCCCAGCTTGCAAGGCTGACGGACAGAGCAGCAGCAGCAGCAGCAGCAGCAGCGCGACGCTGCCGTCGCCGCTGGTGCCCGGCAGCGGCTGGGTGCGGCTGCTCGCTTGCTTCGACCACCACCGGGAGTTCATTTTAGGCCTTGACTGGTCAGTCTTCAAGTCTGGCCTTATTGTTTCCACTAGCTGGGACCGCAGTGTCTGTGTCTGGAATGCAGACTCCGGCCCTGCGCCGCCGCCGGTGCCGAAACGGCCGCTCTTTCTCAGATTGAAAAGTTCCACTTGAAGTTTCACTGAAAGCCACTTAAAGCCGAGTGTTTGTAGTTTTGGACGAGATCAGCACTTCAGACAAGAAAGGCAGACATGCGCGCTGGCTACTTGAGTCACTGACACCCGAAACGCTGCACACTATAGGCAGAAAATGCGGCAGTGGCAGCCTAGGTGCATGCGCAACACACTCGACTTAATAGACAAAGCGGAATTTACTGTGAGGGGTAAAGACATACAGGCAAGGACAGACGGACACAAAGTGCTCTTACTTGGCGGGCCATGAGCTGGCCCTGTGGCTGCGACTCTGCAACTCACGGACTTACTGAGAATAGGGGTTGAAATAGTAGGCAGATCGCCGGCGGGTAAGCCTGAAAAGCAAAAAGAGGTCTAGCTGCCCCACGTGCGACTGGGGCTGAGCGTCCGTAGAAACCCATAGCCTTTTTGTGAGTTGCCACCAACTGTATGCAGTGTTGGCACTTAGCACGACTTAGAATTGCAGAGGTAAACATGAAGAAGGAATTGGGCCGACTGGAGAACCCCTGCAATTAGAAGGGAGCCCACTAAAGTTATGCTTGAGCTGAATTAAATTCATAAAGCGGTGGACTCTGGGTACAGATGAGCCACTCCTGGGAGGGTGCCTCAGTAAATGAATATCAGAAAGAAGCAAATCCTAGTTCAAGGCAAATCACGCATTCGGCAGGGAAAAAAGGAGCACGCTGGTCCCAAAGCTTCCAGCTCGGGGCTACAAGGACAAGCCGTCAGAGGTATTGAGAAAAACGCGGGCCAAGTTAAGTGAGAAGAACTGCGGCAGTAGGGACTCGGCAAGAAAGAGAAAGCTCTAGAGTCTCTAGAGAAATAAGAATATTGTAGCGGAATCTGACAACCCCATGGTAGTGGAATGAGCAGCAGACAACTTACACCATAATCTGGGCTCATACTAGGCTCATACGTAGCTCACGCATAAAACGTAAAAATAATAGTTAATTCCGAGCTTTCACACGTTAAGGAGGCCCAGTAGGACCCTGCTGTATTGTGGATATTTGGATTTTTTCGTTCAGTCTTAGTTTAACTTGCTCTTGCTCCCGTTGTTCCTCTCTCTGATTAACTTGTTGGTTTGTGAGACCTTTAAGGGGAAACAGTATGCCATGATTATTTATTCCTACGTAATTTGCTCTGCGCCATAGTTACTGAGTTCGAGGAAAGGAGAAACAAAAAGTGAAAATGGCGCGAGTTTTCAGAGCTCAGAGCGGCCTTGATCCCTGTTGCATTTTGAGTAAACAGCCAAACTGTTGCTATATAGTTCTAGTAAATTCTAAACAAATTTAATGCGAACGAAGCCGATAGCAATAGCGGAAATTGCTCTGGACTACGTTAAAACGGTGCTCTTAAGACGTTGCATTGAGTTCTGCAGAGGGGAATGAAGTGGGACGGTGTGAAACAAAAATTGATATAGCGTCAAGTGTAAATTATCCGCCTATTCGCTGCTGACGGAAGCAGTCCACCACATTATCTACGTCTTTGTGGCTGTTGGTGAGTAAAGAGATATTCTGAAAAAGTGCCTTTCTAAGGCTACTGCATGCGTGCGTGAGCATGTATCTATTGTATCTGTTGCATAGCTATGTGATAAAGTGCGAGTTGAGATGGAAACAACGGGAAAGGTTACTGCACGTCCCTAAAATTTGTTATTTCTTTAAAGATTTTTCGTCAAAGAAGCTAGTATACCTAAATTAAAATCAGATTTTATTTTCTTTTTATTATGAAGAGGAGTTAAACTTAAGTGTCCGAAGGGGTTTCCTTGCTTTAGTTATTATTTTTTTTTATGTTTCACTAGTATCCACGTTTGCGAATACTTCCTGCAGTGAGCACAAGCTTGGCAGAGCGTCATCAGACAGCTTACTTTTAATTGCAGACTTCACTTACTTAAAATTGAATATTGAATCTAAGCTTCATCAATTTGTTTTCTGTTATTATTTTATTTTTAAAAAGATCTGTACTGGATAATTACGATATAAGGAGCCTGCCCAGTACTAGGAGGTCAAAAAGGATATCTATTATAATATTTTTTGAAACAACACCTAGGCCTAGCCAAAGTAGGCCTAGGGCTTGAAGCCCCCTAGTATACACTTTCTAAATGTTGACAGTAGAAACTTACAGAAAATTTACCAGCATAAAAGCGAAATGAAAGATGCAAAGTGCCACTCCATTGGTTTCGGAAGCTCTGTCCTGCGTTTCAGTAAATCTTTAAATCTAGTACAAGCCCACATCTGTGGGAGGCAAATCAGCCTTTCTATGCTTTAAAGTCGCTGTCTTTTTCCTACACAGGTTGTCAACACTGAGGAGTTTCATGCAAGCAATGAGCTTCAGCCAGTAAGAGGGGAACAGAAAGTTAGAGGTTTTTCCCGGGCTGCTTGTCACACTGGCGCTATTTATGGCAAAGAGTCTTCCTCTGCATTCCACTTGAACTGAGGGTTAAAAACTATAGATTTAACAGTATGACTCCCTATATAGGGCCTCAAAAAGTAGACCCCAGTCCTGTAGCGCATGCAGTTCTTCAGCAATCCTCATCTCCACTAATTCTGCCCTTGAAGGGTCATTTGCATACTGACTGCAAGTCCGTCGACTGGTTTCAGCTAACAACAGTTAAAAGGCATTGCAGTTTTCCTCATAATCCATCAAAACATTTGCATTCCCCATGCTTCCTGAACAACTTGAAGTTGGTGCGGGAGAGCCATCAAACAAGCAGCAAACAAGTAGATTTCAGACCAATGACTCAAGCAGAAGTTGCAACATCCAGTTCACGCCTGACAGGTATGCGATATTACATGCATTACTTTGAAAGAGAGTGGGAAATTAATCTTATTGCAGTCAAACTTTACCGATCCACAACAGCTGCGTCGCCCTAAGGAGTTAATTGCTGCCGCTGCGCCTCAGCTGTTGATAACTGCAGATTTATGCATTTCATTTTTGTTCTTCGCAGCTCTCACAACAGTTCATCTATCAATCAAGCTGTGTGGAGAGCCGCAAAAACGGGAGTTCTCCTCATTTCACACTATGTAATTTTTTTAGTTGCATTTCTTCTTATACGTTTGTGTGCTTGTATGTTTGTTTCAAAATAACCCACTGAGTGCCTGTTGCCAGTGTGCAGCTGAGGGCATCATAAGCCTGTGGATACCTCTTTGCATCGGTAGTTGAGAGTTTTTCAGGCAATACAACTTTCAGAATTTTCACGTGTGTGTTCAGGGAGTATTTGCTGCCAGTAGGAAGTAGCAGATCGAGCCAAAAAGGCTGCAGGCGGTGATTGCGTGATAAATAAGCAAAATAGAAGGGTTATGAAGTCGGAAGCGGAATGGACTTTCTCTGATTTAAGCTGCAACACAACCAATGAAACGGCCCTGTAGTGTCAGCACTGGAACGTTGGCAGACGCGATCAACATTGGTGAATTCTGCATACCCACATTAAGCAAATAACACAGTTTCACTAGTTTTACCTTTAATTTGATTATTCTTGTAGGGTAAATGCAGGTACAGCGCAGCTTACTGAGGAACTGAGCAAGACTTGAGCGGCCGCTGGACCACTCACATAGCACCGTCTGCTTCTTCTGTTCATGTTTATCGTTCTGTTTCAAACTTGACTTAATGGTTTAATCAAATATATACCTGAAGTCATTGATTCAAGGAAGTTTCAGCAAAATCCGCTTGACGTTTACAGCTGTATGAGATCGTGTCTGCACGGGGACGTATTGGGGACTGTTTCCAGCAGTGGCGACAGCTTGTTCGTCGCTTGGGACAGACGATAGGGCTTTGTAAAATCCATAACTGCCTCCCAAAGCTATAAATATGCCAGAAACTTGTGTGCTTTCTGTAGAAATTGTGGACTGTTTTCAGCCTTTCTATGTCTGTGGCTTGGGTCCTACGCTCACCGTGTAACGGTTGAGGCGGCAGTGCGGAACGCCGAAATAAGAGCGGCAAGGGCGATTTTTTTCAATATATTTCGGGGACTTTTAAGTATTTAAAAAATGTTCAGAAATGAATAGATCTTTTTTGTTGTTGGTGGTCCGTTGAGGCCAGCTGGCTGGAGCGAGTGGGAGGCGCAAGGGAGGCGATCAAAAGGGTAGGCGAGCAGAAACGGCTCAGCTAGCTACGGGTAAATAACAAGAAAAAAGTGAATTTCTCACTGGAAATTCAATGGAATAAAATATTTAGTCAAATTTAAAGATGGTTTTCTCGCGTCACGGCCTAATCGCCGACCCCTGGGACACTCAAGGCTAGCTCTCGCCGCCTCTCGCTCGGTGACTGCAAAGGCGCTGCGTGTCCCGCCCCCTCGCCATGCAACTCCCTGTCTCACATCTTCTTCTTGACCGTTTTTTTTGGTTTTGATTTCCACTTCTGTCGGCCTTTTCAACATTTCCGGTCAACTTTTTTTTTTGTCACAATGGCGCCCATTTTCCAGAGCGCAGCCCTGTGCTTCATGGCACTCTGCGGACTGAAGTCTGCACATGCCGCTGGTGGGGGTGGAGGTTCAGCTGCGTCACCTACGCCGGTGGCAGCAGGAGATGGTGAGTGGCCATTTTGTTCTGTCAACAAAGCCTGCTGTACGTAAGGGCCTAGGACATTTTGCATCGGATTTTGTTTCTTCTTCGCAGACGTGTACCTTGCCCTGAACTTGGCTCGGCGGGGAAGGCTCGCAGTTCGGCTAAATGCGTTGACAAAGCAGCAGACTCTTGTCGATAGCCTTTTGAAGAGCATCCCTACGACGGTCGGGAACGACTGCGGAAAAATCGACAGTGTGACTTCTCAAACGGTAAGCTTGTGGTTTGACGGCCCCCCGAAAGGGAGAATTAAGCCATCTTAATCTATTTTACACGTAGTACTGGCATGGGGTGAATGATGCAGGCCAGTGGATTCGTTGCTACGTTCACCACCGAGCCCAACTACAAGAAGCTGGTGCAGGACGCCCTGAGCGCGGCACTTAAGAAAATGACGTGAGACGTTGTAAGCACAAAATCCCTTGCGCTGCAGGAAATAACACAAGGCGACTTGGACATATGATTTATATGCAGGAAATACCCGACTGACGACAAGTTCAACGTCGCTCCCTGGACAGATGCTGAGGTTGCGAACATCCTGCATGTTCTTTCCTCCGCAAGCACTGAAGTTGGCTGCGCTGTGACTACGAAATGTGCAAGCAAGCAGCTGCTTGTTTGCCAGATGAACCCGAAGCTTGGAACAGGCGCTCCTTTCAGGTAGGTCGGAGAGCTTCTACAAAGGATCCATGGGCATTATTTAATTGCGGAAAATGCCTGAGAAATAGGGTATTTTGTTTTGTTTCATTCTTATTTTCCAAGACTCCTCTTTTTGGGTTTGCAGCGAGGAGTTCTTCAAAGCACTTCAGTCCAGGAGCGACTCCATTGAAGATATGACTGAGGCCGATCTGAAGACTGGCTCGAACTCCGGAATTGTTGCAGTTCCTTCAGTTCTATTTGCGGGTCTTGTTGCAATGCTAGCAACAGCAGCAGCATAAAAGAAAAGATATGAATAGGGCCTTTCAGCAGCAGCAGCAATGTGGGTGCTGCGGGCTGGGGCTGGAGCAGCTTCGCTTCATTTGGAATTTGCAAAAGAAGACAGTCTCGGAGGCACCTGCTTGATAGGGAAAATGTGCAGGGCCGGTGCCTTGCAGCAGCAACAAAGAAAAAGAATTCTTTGAGTCCTCGGACTTGTTGCAAAATTGCAACTCTGCACTGAGACGAATTCGCCAACTCACTTTTTCGCAGTGCTAAATATGGAGCCTTTTTCACAACATTATTCCTTAGCTTTAGATTCCTTCTCCTTTTTTCGAGTCTTATTTGAAAAGTTATTTAATTCTCCTTTAGCTTTAGACTGCAGATCTTTTTTTTATTCCTTTTTCCACTCTATTCTAGGGATATGGCCTATGCAATTTTGTCCAAATCAAAAGTATGTTTTATCTAATAGTGCATGCACTAGGCGGATACAAGGAAACGTGTATTTGGAAAACAAGTGATATTAAAAGAGGGTATGATATTCGAACAAGTTATAGAGGCTACAGGTCGTCGACAATTGCGCCGATTTAAAAAAGGTATTTACTTTTAGATGAGCTCAAGATGGTAGAGGAAGGCTCCACAGGCGCGGGTTAATGAAGACAAAAGTGGTTTCGTTAAGACAAGAAATCCCCTTTTGCCAAATTTGTTCCATTTTATTCTCGCTGGGGCTTCCACACGGGGGTTTAGACTTTCGCCTTTTGTTTTTTTTTCGAATTTCCTAATAAACATTTCGTTTGGGCAAAAGTATTATTATTTTATCGAGCCACCCAGCCCCTGAGATGTACGTACACCAGAACCTTTCTGGCTTCAGTTTCTTTAAGCGTGTCTGTCTGCTGCTTCCCTAGGGGCTTTTAGCAGCAGCAGAAGTCAGAAATGACTACAGGGTGCAGCAGAGGAAGCAAAAGTGACCAGTGGTCACGCAGACTTGTGTCCAACCCTTCGTACGGCTGTTTGCTGCTATTGGCTTGACCAGTTCTTTACTGCAAGCCCCAGCAACAGGCTGCGCTAGGCTGGCTTTCTAGCTGCAGCAGCAGCACAGCTATTATCAGCAGCAGCAGCAGCAGCTGCTGCTGCTGCTGCTGCTGCTCCTGCTTGTATTCGCGTGCTGCGGCCTTGGGGCCTGCGGCTCCGGGGGCTGCACGCAGCATCGTGCGCATTTTTGAAATGCTTATGGAGCTTTTGTTGCAGCTTTAGGATATTTAAAGAAGAATAAAGTTATGAAATAATCTTTATTTCTGAGATTGTGGCAGCCAGTGAGGGCTTAGAGCCCCCTGTGTTGCCGCCGAGCGGGTGGCCAGGGGTTTCAGAGGCCCCAGCAACCCCGAAAGGGTGCTTATGCTCGGGCTAAAAAGGAGATTCTGCGGCTCAATAAGTCTTTTAAATAAAAAGGAATTTGATAATTCAAATATTTTGCAAAGACAGCCTGAAATTCGGCCTCCAGGCCGAGGCCCCCAGGGGCCCCAGTGCACATAGGCAGGACCGGTGCGGCGGCGGGCCCCGTGAGGCTCCTTAGGGTTTAGAAGAATAAATTAAAAACTTCAATTCAACCCATTTTTTTGCAGTATAAATTCAAGTGAAACCTCTGGATTTCGGCGGGCAGCAGCAATGCAGCTGCAGCCGCCTGGCTGTCGAGACACCGCAGAGGCATGCGTGTGGCGCCAGGGGCTGCTGCAGCAGCAAAAGCTCCCAAACCCCCAACTGCAGCAGCAGGCTCTGCTGCGGTCTCCCGCCGGCACAGCAGACCTGTAGGCTTTCCGCTGTCCCAGCAGCAGCAGCAGCTGCACAATCAGCAGCAGCAGCAGCAGCAGCTTTCTGGCCGCTGCCGACGCCAGAGCTCAGCCGGCTGAAACCTGCAGAGGACCCCGAAGTCCAAAGGAGCCTTCGGCTGGCGTTCTTGTGCCTTCTGTTCAGGGCCTTCTATGCCGGAACAGCAGCAGCAGTGGCAGCAGCGGCAGCAGCAGCACCAGCAGCAGACTGTGGACAGCAGCACGCAGGCTCAGCAGCCACGTCCACACCTGGACTTCAAAGCCTCGAGCTCAGCATACACCTGAAACGCGGCAGAAGCAGCAGCAGCTGCTGCTTGCTCTTCCTCATGGAAGGAGAGCCCCAGGAAGACCCCCACCAATTGCAGCCACTGCAGCAGCAGCAGCAGCAACTGCAGCAACACCAGCAGCAGCAGCGGCAGCCGCAGCAGCACAGACATTTTGGCTTCTGGAGAAGGTCCCGCCACGCAGGGATGCATGCCTCCCTAGGGCAGCACCAGGGCCTGCTCCCGCACCAGCTGCAGCAGCAGCAGCAGCAGCAGCAGCCAGAGCAGTCTCTGCTGCTGCTACAGGGGCTTTTGCCGAATAGCCGCTCTTCTTCCTCCCAAAAACTGCCGTTGCAGCAGCAGCAGCAACTGCAGCAGCAGCAGCAGCAACTGCTGCAGCAGCAGCAGCAACAGCAGCAGCAGCAGCAAACCCACTGGGAAAGACTGCAGCAGCAGCAGCTGCGGCTAGAACACATACGAAGGATGCAGCGGCATGTTGCAGATCGGCAGCTTCAGCTTCAGGAGGAGCTCAGACAGCCGCTAAGCCACCGCCACCGCCTGCAGCAGCAGCAGCAGCAGCAGCAGCTGCAGCAGCAGCAGCAGCAGCTGCAGCAGCAGCAGCAGCAGGTCTTTGCGCAAGCCCAGGGAATTTCTTTGCCCTCGCCAGACCTGGGTTACGTACACTCGCGGCAGCAGCATCTGCTGCAGCAACAACAGCAGCAGCAGGAAGACCTTTACCAGCAGCAGCAGCAACAGCTGCAACAGGAGCTACAGCAGCAGCAACTGAAGCACCACAGGGGGTTATCGACAAACCTCCAAGACCTTTCAGAGCCACAAGGTGCTTCTGGATCTATGCAACAAACAGAACAGGAGCAGCAGCTGCATCAGCAGCAGCTACAGCTACAGCAGCAGCTACAGCAGCAGCAGCTGCAGCAGCAGCAGCAGCATCAAGCACAGCGGCGCCCAGGAGCTCGGTGCGTCAGCACGGAAAATTCAGCAGCAGCAGCCGCAGGGGCGAGCTCAGCACCCGCAGCAGGAGCACCTGCCCGCTCAGCAGCAGCAGCAGCAGCAGCCCCTGCAGCAGCAGCAGCAGCAGCAGCAGGTGACCTTGAAGCTAGCAGCGAATGGCTGCCACAGGAGCTTTCCAGGAAGCAGCAAAGCCGCCAAGGCCCCTCCAGTCGTTCTGAAGCTCACAAGAAGCTGCTGCTGCAGCAGCAGAACCAGCATGAGCAGCAGCAAAAGTTCCTGCAGCAGCAACGGCAGCAGCAACAGCAGCTGCAGCAACAGCAGCTGCAGCAACAGCAGGCTCTGCAGACTGAGCTTCAGCGTAGCTCACTTCAGCAGCAACGCCTGCAGCAGCAGCAGCAGCAGCACAAGATGCGCCAGCAGCAGCACCAGCAGAGGCCAAAAGGGGAGCAGCAGCAGCAGCAGCAGCAGCACTGGTCCAAGCTGCAACCCATGCAGCAGCAGCAGTCAATGCAGCAGCAGCAGTCACTGCAGCAGCAGCAGTCACTGCAGCAGGGTTTAGGGATTAGGGTTTAGAGTTTGGGTTTAAGGTATAGTGAGCATGCGAGCAGGCGGGGATTTTTGCTTCTGCAACTTTTGCTGCTGCTGCTGCTGCTCCTGCTGCTGCTGCCCTTAATGGTGTTTCGGGAGTTGTTGGAGCTGCTGTTGTTGCCGTCTGCTGCTGCTGCTGCTGCTGCTGCTGCTGCTGCTGCTAACTGTGTTGCTGCTGCTGCGGCTGCTATGGCTGCTGCTACTGTACGCCGCTGCAGCTGTAACATTTGCCCTTACCGTCAATTGCTGCTGCTTCTGCTTCTGCTGCTTCTGCTGCTGCTGCTGCTGCTGCAGGACTTTGACAGCCCGCCTCCGGCCCGCTACGTGGTGGAGGTGCTGCTGCCGCAGCTGCAGCAGGAGAGCAGCAAAGCTGACTGGCGGCAGCAGACGCAGGCGCTGCTGAACCTCCGCCGGGTGGCCAAATTCCACACGGCTCTCCTGACGCAAGGTAACACGCTGCTGCTGCTGCTGCTGCTGCTGCTGTTGCTGCCGCTGCTGTGGCATGCAGCGGCGCCTTATCATTGTGAGACAGTTGCGTTCTTTTTGCTGCTTCAACACCGCAACGGCGGCCCCTTCCCGTCTTTGCATCCGCGCTGCTGCTGCTGCTGCTGCTGCTGCTGCTGCTGCTTGGAGCAGACTGCATCCGCCGGCTGTGCAGCGCAGTTTTGTCTTTGCTGAATTCCCCGCGGAGCTCTTTGGCCAAAAATGCGGCCATAGCGCTCAGCGACCTCTTTTGCTTCGCCCGTGGAAAGACGGTGGGCAACTAGCTGGCTAGCTAGCTAGCTAGCGGGCTAGCTAGCTGGCTAGCCAGCTGGCTAGCTGGCTGGCTAGCTGGCCAGCTAGCCAGTCGGCTAGTTAGCAAGTTACTTAGCTATCTAGTTAGCTAACCAGCCAGTTGACGAGCTGGCCAGCTGGCAAGGTAGCTAGCTAGCCAGTTAGCCAGCTAACTAGCTGGCAAGTTGGCTAGCTAGCCAGTTAGCTAGCTAGCTAGCCAGTTGACTGGCTAGCCACCCAGGTAGCTTCCTAGGTAGCTAGCAGGCATGCTCACCACCTAGAGAGCTACCAGGCTAGCAGCTAGCTAGCTAGCTCATCAACCAGTTGAGTAGTCAGCTTGATAGCTCTAACTACCAAACTGGCTGATGAGCTGGCTAGCTAGCTAGCTAGCTAGATAAGTGTGTAGCTAGCTAGGTGGCTAGCTAGCTATCTTGCCAGCTAGCTGCTGGAGCTAAACGTGAGGCAGCAAAGCCGCACTGGCCAACGCTGAGCCAGCTGCTGCAGCGCCCTAGAAACCAAAGAACTACTCTCCAGCTAGCTAGCTGGCTGCCAGTATGCTAGCTAGCGAGCTAGCTAGCTAGCTTGAGAGGTTCGCTGTGCCCTCTGGTTTGTCTCTTCAGGACTCGGCGGTCTCGGAGGTCATCGACGTCTGCCTCAAAAAAGTAAGAAGGGAAGCAGCAGCAGCAGCAACAACAGCAGCAGCAACAGTTGCTGCTGCTGCATTTTTGCCGGAGCAGCTAACAAAGGAATCAGCAATTAAATAATTAAATAATTAAATAATTAATAAATTAATTAATTAATTATTTTGTTTGTTTGTTTATTTAGAGCTGCCAGTCTGTGGAGTTCCTGGCCGAGGCCTCGCGCGCTGTGCTGCACTCCGTGTGTCTTTTTGCTTCCGAGCTGAAGGCCTTTGCTGCCTTTACTGCTGCAACAGCTAACGCGTACGCTGCTGCTGCTGCTGCTGCTGTTGCTGCTGCTGCTGCTGCTGGTGCAGGCGTTCTTGCTGCGGCGCTTGACGCCGTGCCGCTGCGCCGAGAGTTGCTGCAGCTGCTGGCAGCGCCTCTGTTCCTGCAGCTTGCGTTGCTGCTGCGCTTGCTGCTGCTGCTGCTGCATTTGATGCTGCCGCTGCTGCCTCTGCAGCATGCGGGATGATATGCAGTCGCTGCTGCTGCTGCTGCTGCAGGAAGCACCAAGGGGCTCGTTGCGTGGGAGTTTGCTGCTTAGCATTTTTAATTGACAAGTACAGACGGGGGCCTCCTGATGCTGCTCCCCTAGTAGAATTGCTGCTGCAGGTGACTTCAGCGTGCTGCTGCTGCTGCCGCTGCTGCTGCTGCTGTTGCTGCTGCTGGAACTGCAGTTGCCATTGCTACTGCTGTTGCTGTGCTGCTGCTGGCACAAAAGCAGACGCCGGTGGTGGCGGTCGCTTTGAGGGTTTAGGTTTTAGGGTTTAGGGCTTAGGGTCTGAGGGGGCTTTCCTGCAGACTTCAGGAGAGGCTTCCTCGGACCTCCGTGCTGCTTCCCGTGTGGCTCTTTGGCTGCTTTTTGAGTGAGTGCTTAGACTGAATTTTTAGGGTTTAGCTTCGCTGGAGCCCTAGGGTTTAGGGTTTAGGGTTTAGGGTGCAGCTAGGGTTTAGGGTTTAGGGCCTAGGGCTGATTCTGCGTGCTGCACCAGCTTCCCGGGCTGAGCAAAACCTCGACTGAACTCTGAAACAGCAGCTAGAAGCTCATTTTTAGGAATTTAGGGTTTAGGGTTTAGGGTTTAAAGTTTAGGGTTTAGGGTTTGGGTGTGTCTACAGCGTGATGTCGGGCGCGGAGTGGAGAGCAGCAGGTGTATCTTCGGAGCAGCTGAAGTCGGTGAGGAGAGTCTGAGGCATTTTTATTTTTTTGAAAAATCATGAGAAGTTCTCTTGTTTAATAATTGAATAAAACGAAGATATATTTATATAAACATATATTTATATCTATTTATTTACCTAAAGTTAGCTAAATATTTACTTTGTTGCTGCAGCAACTGCAGCAACAAGACAGTCTGCGGCTGTTGTAATTAAATGCAGCTGCTGCTTCTGGTGGCCAAATTCAATACACGAACAATTGAGATTAGGAAGCGAATGCATCGCAACCTAATTTGTGTGTTTAAAATTAAGTTAATTAATTGGATTTTAATAAATAAATAAATAAATAAATGTTTTTATTTATTTATTGATTTATTTCTTCTCAGGCGCAGGCAGTGGCTGTAAAGACGACTGAGGCGGACGTGACTGGGGTGCTGCAGAGCGTTTCTTCTTCTCTCGGCGACTTGAAGCCAATGAGTAATTAAATGAATTGAAATAATTGAAATAAAATAAATAAAAAAACTTAATTCGAACATTCCGTTTATTTAAATGTGCAACCGCGGCTAAAAAAGCAGCACTTCCGTGCTGCAATTTGTTTCCGCTCTCCTAAGGTGTATGTACACCTCGAGGTGTATGTACCACCCCGTAGCTTTTGTCCGGTGCTGTTAATGCTATATTAAACCTCATAATAATTGTTTTTAGTGGCCTTCGACGAGTTTTTTGTGCTGCATTTATTTTTATTGGTTTCAAGTTTATTTTGCTGCTATCTTTCCGGGTGTATGTACAGCCTCGCTCTCTAGGAACAGCCCCGGCAGTTTTGCTGGGCGTCACCCTCGTGGCCATTCCGAAGAAAACAATTGATTTAAAGAAACAAATTCAAATTGAAATTTATCAATTTGAATTATTAAACTTAATTGGGGCACAAAAACTGAAGCAAAAAGAAACGAACGCAAAAGCAAATGCCACCAAACCCCGGCGCGTTGCTGCCGACAGAACCCCATTTCGCTTCCTTTCTTTCGCTATTTGGATCATTGTTTTGTTTAATTACATCAACTTAATGGCATTTATGGAAACTAAACGGAAAAATAGTTAAATTAGACTATAGAATCGAATCTTAGTGCCGCTGTGCGTACACCGCAGAACTTGCCAACCATGGGGGCAAAAATGTAGTTTTCGGAGCAGTAAAAACTAAAAAGATGCATTATAGGCCATCCCATTTGCTCTTATTGTCCCCAAACCCCCAACCAAACAAGAATGTTTGCACGAGGGGCTGCTGCGGGAAACCCAGGGGCCCCCAGAGTAGCAGGGGCCCCTTAGAGGGCCCCTGATACTCTGGGGGGCCCCCAGCTGCCTGCAGCCAAAGGCACAGGCACGGGAGGCTCTTCATGCCCTCTTTGGGGGCCCCTTGGGGGCCCCTAGAAAGAAAGAACAATGGCTGTACCTTAACATCTTTGGGGGCCCCTTTGGGGGCCCCCATGAAAGCTAGTAAGGGCCCCCTTTGCAAATTTCTGCTGCGCATTTGCTGCTTAAGGTAATATCTTCAGGTGTATACGCACCAGAAAACATTTTGAAGTACAAAAGGGCCCCTTTGGGGCCCCTTTTCGGGTCCCCTTTAGTGCCCTTTCGGGGCCCCCTTGGGGCCCCCTTAGGACCCTTTTGGGGGCCCCTCAGGGGCCCCTTTGGACCACTTCGGGGCCCTTAAAGGAGGCCCCCTTTGGAGGCTTTCAAAGTGGGCTGTACTGCTGCCATGGCCGACGACAGCACATACAGGCCGCGGTTTGCTTCTGCTGCTGCTGCTGCTGCTGTTGTTGCTTTCAAATTTGGCGCAGCAACACAAATCCCGGGGAATCTGCAGCAGTGCTCCTTTGCTGCTGCTGCTACCAATGCTGCGTTGTGTCTTCCCCGCTGCTTTTCCCGATGCTGCTACCATACCGCTGCTGCAGGTGTTGCTTCTGCTGCAGCGGTGCTGCTGCAGGAATAGCTGCTGGAGCTGCTGCTGCTTCCTGTGAGCCTTCGGGCCATTACTCTTTACCAGGACTTCGTCTCTCGAAGAGTTCAGTGTTTCGTTCTTAGTATTTCTTTCTCAAATTTTATTTTAGTTTCTTTTCTTGTAGTTCTGATGGCCTTCAAATTGTACTCAATTCTACTAAGGAAGCAGCAGCAGCAGCTGACCACTCCAAACTGCAACTTTTGAGCTTGCCCACTTTCAGATTGCGGCGGCGGCGGCAGCAGCAGCAGCAGCAAAAGCAGCACCAGTAGCACCCCTAGGAGTAGCACTAGCAGCAGCAGCAGTAGCAGCAGTAGCAGCAGCAGCAGCAGTAGCCCTCACTGGCAGCACCAGTAGCTTTAGCAGCAGCACCCAGAAAAGCAGCAGCAGCACCTGGAGTCCCAGCGGCACCAAGACAAGCAGCCGCAGCAGCAGTAGTAGCAGAAGCGGCAGTAATAGCAGCAGCAGCGGCAGCAGTGATAGCAGCAGCAGCAGTAATAGCAGCAGAAGCAGCAGCAGCAGTAATAGCAGTAATAGCAGCAGAAGCAGCAGCAGCAGAATTAGCGCGTTTAGGATCTTTTTAAAATTAAGATGATTTGTAATTATAAGTGGATTTATTTGTCCTGCGGGCACCTTGAGCCGAGTGGCTGCCCCACTTCTGCTGCTGCCCGTCCGCAGGGCTCCCCCAGCAGCAACAGCAGCAGCAGCAGCAGCAGCAGCAGCACCATGAAAAGCTTTGAAAAAGAAATGACACTTCTTTTGCTTCACACAAAGGAAACAAATCCAGAAGCAGCTCCTGGGTACCGCTGCACTTGAAAGAATCTGTGGGGCCCCCCAGCAGCAAAGCTGCTGCTGAAGTGAACCAGCCGGTACAAAACCAGGTCCCAGGGGCCCCCCCCTACTTCTTCCTTGCTCAGCTGCAGCGCAGCAGCAGCAGCAGCAGCAGCAGCAACGGTGGCAGCGCGGCCCGCAGTGCTGCAGCAGCAGCAGCAGCAGCAGCAGCAGCGGTGGCAGCACGGCCCGGAGTGCTGCAGCAGCAGCAGCAGCAGCAGCAGGAATGATAACAGCCTCTCGTGCAGTGCAGTCGCGGCAGCAACAGCAGTTAAGTGCAGCACCGCTAGCGCCTGTGGCAACACACAGCAACAGCAGCAACAGCAGCAGCAGCAGCAGCAACGGCAGCAACAGGAACGGCAGCGACGGTGAACAGTGAAGGCAGCAGAAGCTGCAAACGCCGCAACAGCAGCAGCAGCAGCAGCAGACTCGGCGATATACCGCAGTTGCAACAAGAAGCAAGACAAAATTCGAGAGCAGCAGCAGCAGCAGCAGCAGCAGCTTGAAGAAGACCTACCCCTCTGTTGTAAAAGTCCTGTATGGTGCGTCTCACTTTAGGGTCTTCTCTTGCTGCTGCTAAGGTAATGTGGTCCATTTGCTTCAGACGCAGGCAGCAAAGCTGCTGCTGCTGCAGCTGCTGCTGCAGCTGCTGCACCAGCGGCAGCAGCACAGGACACTGCAGCGGCAGCAGCACATGGCCATCATCTGTTGCCATGGCCCTCGGCGTCCCCTCACATCGCAGCCCCCCTTCCTGCTGCTGCTGCTGCTGCTGCTGCTGCTGGCCGTGGTGCTGCTGCTGCTCCTGCTGCAGCTGCTTGACAGCTGCAGCAACGTGGGCCTCCACTGCTGCGATGTCTGTACACCTGAAATAGCCCGAGACAGAACAGTGCAGCAAATAACAAAAGGAATCATCGCAGCCAAAAGCAGCAGCAGCAGCAGCTCTTAGCGAGGCTAGCTGCTGCTGCAGTTTGCTGCCAGCGCCGGGCTCCAAGTGCAGTATGTACCGGTCCCCTTCCTGCTGCTGCTGCTGCTGCTGCTGTTGCCCCTGCTGCTGCTGCTGTTGCTGCTCTTGCTGCTTCTTCAGGTCTTTACCGCGCTGCAGATGCAGCTGCTGCAGCTGCAATTGCTGCAGCTGCTGCACTCCTCCCAGCTCCTGCTGCAGGTTCAGCTGCAGCTGCGGCGGCTGCGGCGTGGCCGCTGCCACTGCAGCCGCTGCTGCTGCTTGCCCATGCTGCTGCTGCAGCGCAGCAGGCATTGCTGCTGCTGTTGCTGCTGCTGAAGCCAAAGCCGATGAATCAGGCTGGGAAGCGGCGGGGCATGGTGTGGGGGACTCGGAGCAACAGCAAGGCTCCTTGTCATCTGCTGCTGCTGCTGCTGCTGCTGCTGCAGGCGCCCTTGGCCTCAGCAGCAACTGCTGTCGCTGCTGCTGCTGCTGCCACAACTGAAAAGGAGGTCCCGAAAAAAGAGACAATCCGGGCCCCACATGCAGCAACGCAGGTGCTGCAGCGCTGCAGCAGCAGAACCGCTGCTGCTGCTGCTGCTGCTCCCCACCCATGTACAGCTGACGTCTCAACGCCGTGCTGCAGTTCTGTCTGTTGCAAAGGAAGCTATGAAACTGCGGCTGCTGCTGCTGCTCCCGCTGCTGCAGCTGCTGCTGCTCCCCTTGCTGCGGACACAGCTGCAGCTGCTGCGAAGCCCTTACACCCGAAGCCATGCTCATGGCCCCGCTGCTTCTTCTGCTGTTGCTGCTGCTGCTGCTGCACTAGGATAAGTCCGGACGCAGGAGGAAGGGAGCAGCAGCAGCAGCTGCTGCTGCAGTCCTTCCAACGAAAAAGCGCAGCGGCCGATGCAGCGTTCACAAAAGCTCCGAATCTGCTGCTGCTGCTACTGCCATTCACAGGGTAGCCAGTGGCCTAGCTGCTACTGGTCCCGCTGCTGCTGCTGCTGCTGCTGCTGCAGCTGCCTCCATGAAATAACGCGAAGCTGCAGCAGTAGCCGCTGCTGACGCTGCAGCTGCAGCTGTTCAGGACAAAACCGAGGGTCCAACAGCTCCCGCTGCGGCCGCTGCTGCTGCTGCTGCAGCAGCAAGACAGCTGTGAAGAACAGCAAGCTTCGAGACGCCGTCGAAGCTGCTGCTGCAGCTTCTGCTCCGCCAACTTCGCCGTAAATCTTCTTGTACCTCTGCTGCTGCTGCTGCTCATGCTGCTGCTGCTGGAGGTGTGTACGGGTATGCAGCCACCGCGCCTTCTACCTGTGTGAGAGCAGCAACAGCGGGAGGAGGCGCCCTCTCGCTGCTGCTGCTGCTGCTGCTGCTGCTGCACTCAACATTTCCTAAAACTGAAGCCGCGAGAGACAATATGTGCAAAATGTTTAGAAAAAGGGAAAGAAAATAAAACAATGTGCAAAAAAAAGCCCCAGGACAAGACGCTGGTGCGCTCAGGGCGGCAAGCTCGACGGAAGGACGCAGCAGCAGCAGCAGCGGCAGCAGCAGCAGCAGCGGAACAGCGAAAGCAGCAGCAGCGGCAACAGCAAGCGACTGCGGGGAAACACCGGGACACAAAGGCAGCGAAATACTTCTGCAGTGAGTCAGAAAGAATAAAAATAAATAAATAAACGAAAAACATGAAGCATTTATTGCTGCTGCACTAGCTGCTGCAGTGTACAGACACCAGCGTACCTGGCGGGTCCGCCGCTCTGCTGCTGCAGCAGCAGCAGCAGCAGCTGAGTTTGATGCTTCATTTGAATTAAATAATTGAAATGCCAACAATAATTCAAATTAAAAGAATAAAGACGGCTGAAGGCAAGCCCAATCATCCCCAGCAGGTCGCATGAGGTGTCTGTACACCCAAGGAACTGCAGCAGACAGCCAGGAATGAACTAAAGGCATTATTCGTCAGCAACAGCAGCAAGAGTGTTTTGCTGAGCAGCAAAAAGCCGAAGAGCTGGGCAGATTCGACAAAACTCACGCTGCTGCTGCTGCTGCTGCCGCTGGTTCTGCTGCTGCAGAGGGTGTGGGGCCCCCGATTCCCTAGAGGAGCTAGCGAAGCAGCGAAAGCCCATCAGCACCGTGTTGCTGTTACATTTGCTGCTGCTGCTGCTGCTATTGCTGCTGCGGTTGCTGCTGCTGCTATTGTTGCTGCTGCTGTTACCGCTGCTGCTGTGGAGCCCCTAGTCAGTTCCACAAACCCTTCCATATTCCTGTATCGTCTCCAGCAACAGCACCAATAGCAGCAAAAGCAGCAACAAAAGCCGCAGCAGCAGCAACAACAGCAGTAGCAGCACAAGCAGCAGCAGCAGCAACTACCGCAGCACTGTGCAAGCGCCTGCTGCAGCCATAACCGGGTAATGGGGACGGCAGACACAAGAGTAACAGCTGCTGCAGCAACAGCAGTAACCAGCAACGAAGACAGCAGTGGCAGCAGCAGCAACAGTGGCAGCACCTGTAGAAGCAACAGCAACAGTAGCTGCAGTAACAGCGGCAACAAATGCAGCAACAGCAGCAGATAAAGTTAAGCCGCAGCAGCAGCACCAGCAGGAGTGAGATTTGCACGCTCGGTCAGAAGCTGCTGCAGCTGCTGCAGCTGTAGCAGTAGCAGCAACTGCAGCTGCTGCAGCTGTTCCTAGCTGCTGCTGCAGCTGCAGCAGCAGCTAGGCAACAACGTTACAGACGCCATGAAGTTTATTTCAATACAAAGTTCAGTCTGCAGCAGCAGCAATAAAAAGCGGTACAACACTGCTGCTGCTGTTACTACTACTGCTGCTGTCGCTGTTGCTGCATTTGCTGCTGCGCGGTTCGCGCCTCCATCGCTGCACACAGCAGCACCGCGCTGACAGCAACCCAGCAGCAGCAGCAGCAGCAGCAGCAGCAGCAGCGCGGCCCCTTGGCCGTGACCTAAATTTCTCCGCTGCTGCTGCTTGCTGCGGGTTCCTGCAGTGCAGCACATTCTGTCTTTGCAGCACTTGTGGCTGCTTTTGCTGCTGCTGCTTTTGCTGCTGCTGTTGCTGCAGTTGCTGCTGCTGCTGAACTGGCGCTGCAGCCAGCCGTGAAGGTAACACCTGTCTCATGCAGCTGCTTGTGCTGGTCTTGCCGTTGCTGGTGCTGCTGTTGCTGTGCCTGCTGCTGCTTCTGCAGGTAGAGAAGGCCTGATGATGCTGCAGCATTTGGCTCTGCTGCCTTCAGCTTCGTGGCTACCGGAGCAGCAGCTGTGTCTGCTGCTGCTGCAGCCTGCGAAACCGGTGGCAGCGGGGCAACAGCAGCAGCAGCAGGA